TCCATGTGCCTTAGCATAGTTTCCAGGACCATCTGCTCCATAAGCTTGCCGGGCACAGAGGTGAGTGACTGGCCTGTAGTTCCCCAGGTCTTCCTTTTCTCCCTTTTGAAAAATTGGGGTTATGTTTCGCCTTTTCCAGTAAGCAGGAACTTGCCCAGACTGCCACGACTTCTCAAACATGATGGATAGTGGCTTAGTCACTTCATCTACCAGTTCCCTCAGGATCCATGGATGCATCTCATCAGGTCCCATGGATTTGTGCACCTTCAGGTTCCTTAGATGGTCTCCAACCTGATCTTCTACAGCAGACGGTTCTTCCTTCTCCCAATCCCTGCCTTTGCCTTCCGCGACTTGGCCAGTGTTGCTGGAGCACTTACCAGTGAAGAACGAGGCATAAAAAGTCATTGAGTACCTCAGCCTTCTCCATGTCCCAGGTAACCAGGTCTCCTGTTTCCTTCCGGAGGGGCCCAAATTTTCCCTAGTCTTCCTTTTATCACCAACATACCCTATAGAAGTTTTTCTTGTTGCCCTTGATGTCCTTGTTCTATGAGGGCTTCAGGCTTTCCTAACCTGATCCCTGACTGCTTGGGCAATTTTTCTGTATTCCTTCCAGGCTACCTGTCCTTGCTTCCATCCTCTGTAGGCTTCCTGTTTGTGTTTGAGTTTGTCCAGGAGCTCCTTGCTCATCCACACAGGCCTCTTGGCATTTTTGCCCAACTTCTTTGTTGGGATGCATCACTTCTGAGCTTGGAAGAGGTGATCACTGAGTATTAACCAGCTTTCTTGGGCCCCTCTTCCCTCCAGGGCTTTATCTCATGGTACTCTACCAAGCAGCATCCTAAGGAGGCCAAAGTCTGCTCTCCTGAAGTCCAGGATAGGGAGCTTGTTTAGGCTGTTTGCTGCACTTTTTAGAACGTACAATAAATGCTTCATTGTTTTTCTTATATTCCTAGTTAGTGCAGACATGAAATTTCTGGTCCCCATTTAAACAAAAACATATGTAGATGTCTAATGAAAAACATCACTTTAAAAAGCTTAAATAGTGAATAAACCACCTAGTGTTCACTAAAATAAACTGCTGTTATTCCAAGCTAATCCCATTATTTTGGTCTCGTTTCCTGTTTTTGGCGGGGGTGTTTGTGTGTGTGTGTGTATTTATTTTTCCTTTTTTAAAGTTTTTTTGTTGTTGTTTTTTGTTTGGTTGGGTTTTTTTTTTTTAAACACTTGTAGCTGGCACTATAGGCTTCATAAGTCCTGTTACTGCACATTTGCACTGCTGACAGTGATGGGCAAAGGAGCACACCCTGTGGCCTAATGAATGTTTTTAGCCTATTTCCTTTCTTCCTGGACGTAAGAATTCTCCTAGGGCTCACAGTTGTTCTTTCCTTTCTGTATCACACTCATCTTGACATTATAAAAATAAACCCTCACCATACTAAGCCAGATACTAATAGTCTTTCCCAGCAAACATGAGTGAGACTTCAGTGGTATTGAAGCCTGGGGACACATGAAGAGGATGGCTGTGCTATTGTACATTTGTCATTTCACAAGTAATTCGTGGCTGACACTATCCTACTGACTTCCTTTTTCCAAAACTGACCCTTACTCTTGAGCACCTTCCAAAGCCAAACCCAGCACAACAATCTACTTTGCAGACAGGAAGACAGAGATGCAATAAAGGAGAGAAACTCGCTCATGCTCATGTATCTGCTGAGTGGCAAGGAAAGTGCCAAACAGAAGACAGTGCTGCACACCATACTGCTATTCATTTTCCATATATATCCCTTCTCATCTGAGAGGAAGACATTTGTCCAAGCACTTAAGTTTTGTCCGTAACTTTACTCATTTTTCCAATTTTAAAGGACAGCAATGTTATCCTTATGTTCCCCCTCCCACAGTGTTAAGTGAGGTGCAGAGTGATGATTTTCCTTCTGACCATCATAGGCAAGGGAACTGTTAGCGCTCTCAAACTCTTTCTCACTGTGCCCAAAGCCAACTTCTGTTCACCTTTTCATTGGTATGACGATGACAGACTGCCATGATCACCCCCCATAGAACTTACTGTGCTCTGACACTTACCTGGAAGGAGTGTGTATGTACCAAGCTGATGCTTTGGCTCGCCTTGTTCTATGAAGGTCTGTCCATGAAAATGAACAACATGAATGTCTTTTGGTCCACCCATATTCAGCAAATGCCATCGGACCAGTTCACCATCATACATTCTCAAGCCTTCCAAATTGTAGGTAATCCCATTAATGGCTGAAAAAAAAAATGTTCGTAAGGAAAACTGTTCATAAAAGAGATCTCTTAAAGTGCTAGAATGTAGTTATTAAAATAAGTAAAATATTTAATGAGGTAATACATTTGGGAAAAACACCACTTTTTTCCAATTCGAAGTGCTACACACTTTATGTACATCAATTCTGAAAATCTAGGGAGGATTTCAGATTCAGGATTTCAAAATCTCACCAGAGGATTTGAGCAGTTTGCTTGCAACACATGGCAGCCAGGAGAACAAGGATGTGCAAGAGATTAAATGTCAGATGGGAACATCAGGCCCAAAAGAAAGGACAGCTATCTAAAATGTGTTCTGCAGCTTACATTTCCACAGGCATACAGTCACAACTGACATCTTCGATTAATAACTGATTTTATAGACCACATTTTCAAAAGGCAGATTTCACTTCTCAATATGCCTTTTTCAAACATGATCACTTAGAGCATACAAGCATCAGATTTTCAAAGACAGAAACACAGTTTTGTTACTATTATTTCAAAGAGAAAAAAGGGTTACCTTTGAACAGTCAGCCACTTAACTCTACATGACTAAAATCTCTGTATCCACAGAGAGGTATATGAAGGGCTGTCCTACAGCTGCTTTGAATTCCTCAGTAGAACTAGTTGATTTGTCAAATTACTGTAATATTTTTAAATTTCTTGCAAAATGTTTCAGGGTATTAGCTTCTTACTGAAAAAAGGAGTTTTTTGGTTTTCTTTTTACTTTGTTTTTTAAATACGAGGGGTAGATGTATGTGAGTGCGAGACAGTTGTTTTCTGTTGAAAGTTTCAGTCTAATATGTCCTTTCTTCATTTTAATAACAAATTTCCAGTTCACACTAGTCTTGACATATAAAACTATGACTATTATGAGTACAATGGAGAACAACAAAAAACCCCCATTCACATAATGAACGTGTAGGATTTATGCATGTTCAAAGGCACTATGAGCTGAGATACCTCCCCCAACACCTTTCCCTCTACTCCAGTAAACTGAATACTTGGCAAAAAGAAGCAAGTACCGTAGAATTTGTGGCATTGCTGCATTTCTCGGGTCTTCTCAGTACAAGTCCTTCTAGAATGTTTGTCAAAGTACCAGCTTTTCTCTTCATCAAAGACCATAAAAAGCAAGAAAAAGTCTCGGGTTGATGTTCTGCTGTTGTTTGACTTACTGAAGGTTCCTTTTTGACAGATCAGTATTGGCCCAATCAAACCAGAGTTAATATCTCTCTCCTAGAAGGTAATAAACTCATATTAGACGTAAAAGTGGGTTTCCCAAAAGATGTAAAAAACCCACAGCATTCTGTAGAAATGCAGCAGGCCCTAAAAATTTAAAGCAGAGACCAGAATTGCTATTGCCTTGTATCTTTGCTTTCCCCTGCTCCATCTACCAAAGAGTTCCCCAATTTGAATTCTTCAACAGCTTATATCTTCTTTTAACTGAGTGCAAGAGATTAAGTGTCAGACAGGAACATCAGGTCCAAGAGAAAGGAGAGCTATCCAAAATGTGTTCTGCAGCTTACATTTCTACAACCATACAGTAATATCATTTGCAGATACTCAAAACCTGACTGGACATGGTCCTGGACAACGTAGTCTAGCTGACCCTGCTTGAATTGAGGGTGACTAGATGACCTCTAGTGATCTCTTCCAACATGAATGTTTCTGTGATCAACTGCAGCAACACTACCACTTCTATTTTGATCTCCTTACCAGATTTAAATCGGAGTAGTAGATCCAGGACCGACAAGCTGCTCCTGACTGCACAGGTCCCGAACGCCTGTTTGCATACCATACATATATATAGCTGTTATTTGGCTGAACTTCATCATCTTCCTTAAACCAAGCAGTAGATTCATCATCATAAATGCTTCCCTCGGAGGACTTTTCATAGAAGAGTCCGTGAGCATGGAGGGAGTATGGTCTGGATGCCAGATTCTTAAAATGTACCTAAAAATAGAAGAAATAGATTCTGTTCAGCAAATTCAGGCCTAAACCAAAGACCCCACACAATACATTCCCATGACCTCAAACCAGGGTCAAGATTTGTGTAACGATTACAGGCTATGTTGCGTATGGCAAACCTGCCAGGAATAGCTTTAGACATCTCCATGCAGTCACCCTCTTTGACGCAGGTAGTTAATTAAAAGGTAGAAAGCATGAGTCTAACTCCTTGTGTTCCATGAGTCTAGGTTCCTAGAACTTTCACTGCTGCACTTCACACCTGGATATGTTTAGATACAGCAAGTGGGAAGATGGGGAGTTTCTACCTCTTATGCTTTGCTGCACAGTTGCACTGAAGAATGGCACAAAATAGTAACACCAAACCTTTGTATGTATCACTCTCACTGAAATCACTGCTTCTCACTTGACCCAGAGAAACACGAGATATGGAAATTACATATTTACCTCTCCTTAGAGAGTGATGCTCCCAAGCTAAAATAGCCTCTTTCTTCTCTTACTCATGTTTTAAAATGCAGCTCAATGTGTTCCTATTGCACACTACTCCTACTGAAACAAGCAGAAAGCAGCAAGATCTCCTCTCCCCCTTATAGTCCATCCCTGTGTGTTGGAAGACTGGATGAAGAAAGATGAGAGAAGGGAAACAGCAATTTGCTTCCTAATGCAAACATACCACTGTATCACCAGGGTTACAGTTCCTCTCCATCCTTGTTTGTATTAGAACTAACCAACCCATTTACAGCAACAGTTTTCAGAGGAAAATACACTTTTTGGACAAGTATATATATTCATCTCAAATACAAATGTACTAATTTATTTTAAAATAATTAAGAAGCTCCCTTTACATATAAAAAGTAATATTTCAGTGCAATCTGAGTTTAAAAAAACTTATATTTACCAAGGACAGGAAAGAAAAAAGGATGTGTTTCAAAGACAGACATCACTGTGCTTGTATGTCCACACTGCAATTTCTAGCTTTGAAAACTGTTTCCCCATCATCATCTTTTAAAAATTTGTGGTATTTTTAGACCCACTCTATGTCACACTGTAAGATTGCCATCATTTTATCCTGCACATATATTCAAAACATTGACCTACTAGGATAACATCATCCACTTCAGCCTGGATAACCGGCCCCAGGATGCCAAGGTGTTCTTTATATTCATCTTCATCCTGAAGAGTTGTAAAGGTACTGTCCATATAGCTTTGGAAAATCACCTTGTATGTGGTGCCATCTTTACAGGTTTTGTCATTCATCATGGTACTGAAAGGAAAACCCCAATTAAAAACCCACACAGTTAATCAGAAATAATAGCTCTGATAAAATCTGAGAACTCATACAGCAGGAACATTTTAGAATATAAAGAATAAACACACAAATAAATGTCAGATGATTCTGAAAATCATTACTTGCAGTGTTTAAGCAATTCTACAGTTGCATATGAGATCCTTCAAAGATTTGGTCAGCTATCAAAAACTTCAACTAGTCTCTGAAAACTCACCTAAGCTCTATTTTCCTTTTTTACCATTAGACTTAATAATCTGAATTAAAGCTTAGCTCAGAGTGTAGTGAGCCTACCACCTATACTCTACTCATAGATGTACCTTCTCTGGAAAGCTAACAGAAACACATTTTATATTTGATTACATCTGCATTTTGCAACACAGAGCTGGTAAGAAGAAGAAGAAAAAAAGCTTTTAGGCATTCAAATCATTCTTCAGATCTTAATCAGAAGCACCAAAATGATATTATTCTAACAAAACATATTATCATTTCTGATAAACCTCGCCTCATTATCAATTCTGCAAAAAACAGAAACTTAACCAAAGTCAACTAGTGGGAAGAAAGGCTGGTTTTCAGCTCTTCAACACACTGAGATGGTACATGCCACAGGCTCTGTTAATTTCAGTGGAACTAGACACCTCACATCAGCTGAGGATGAACCTCACTGGGGAGATCTATATAGAGCTTTGAGCATAAGGATTTCTTTATTTTGCAAGTGCACAAAGAAACTGTCTGTGGTTTCTGCCATTTTTGCAAGTGCCGTTTGTATGGACTGAGATGAGGCAAGAGTAAACCTGGAGAATACTGAAAAAGTGGTGAGAAAAAATATCGATCAAATAAAATGGAAATTCAATTTGAGAAATAATATATGTTTGGAGCTGAATTTTGTATAATGAAAATTTTCTTGCTCCTGTTTTTGCTGCTTTTGATAAAAACCTGAAGTTGTGGGTTCATTTCAAGGGCCACAAAGTTCAGCATTTTGATGAAAAGTGACTAGGAATTCTACACATTGTAGGGTGAGCACTGATCCTAATTTGTATGAATTAAGATTGGTCGACAGCCAGCTGAACATGAGCTAGCAGTGTGGACAGGTGGCCAAGAAGGCCAACAGCATCCTGACCTGTATCAGAAATAGTGTGGCCAGCAGGACAAGGGAAGTGATTGTCCCTTTGTACTCCGCGCTGGTGAGACTGCACCTCGAATCCTGTGTTCAGTTTTGGGTCCCTCACTACAAGAAGGACATTGAGGTGCTGGAGCGTGTCCAGAGAAGAGTGACAAAGCTGGTGAAGGGCCTGGAGAACATGTCCTATGAGGAGTGGCTGAGGGAGCTGGGGTTGTTTAGTCTGGAGAAAAGGAGGCTGAGGGGAGACCTGATCGCCCTCTACAACTACCTGAAAGGTGGTTGTAGCAAGGTGGGGGGTGGTCTCTTCTCACCGGTAACTAGCAATAGGACTAGAGGAAACAGTCTCAAGTTGCGCCAGGGGAGGTTCAGGCTGGACATTAGAAAGAACTTCTTCACTGTTAGAGTTGTTAGGCATTGGAATGGGCTCCCCAGGGAGGTGGTGGAGTCACCATCCCTGGAGGTGTTCAAAAAACGTTTAGATGTGGCGCTTCGAGACATGGTTTAGTGGGTTCAGCGGGCATGGTGGCATCGGGTATATGGTTGGACTTGATGATCTTTGAGGTCTCTTCCAACCATAATGATTCTATAATTCTAAGATAATGAATTTTTAGTACAGAGTTTCTCTCGTCACATATACTCTTTGCTGTAGCATAGTGGCCAGTCTTTCCTGTCAAAATGTAAGAAAACCCATCAACATTAGGGTTTGTGATCCAGTTACCTTCTGATTTCTCTGAACAGTAGGAACAACAATGCAATAATTCATGCAGGTTTATTTTTACATTAAGTATAAGGCAGTCACAAGTGTGGTTAATTACTTTGCATCTTTCATATATTTTTCAGTTCTGCAGCCTTGTGAAGTTGGAAAGTGCTATTATCCCATTTTACGACAGAACTGAGACACCAGAACCACTTCTTGCTAGTGCTAGAAACTGGGATTTCGTCCTGCCTATAAGCACATCCTGTCTATATTAGATCAGCATGTGAATCAACATTCTGCTAATATGTATCAGGATGGTGCACAAAACAAAAGCAAATTATATAGCCAAACCTTTTTTTATGTCCTGCATAATTCCAGCAGACCTCTTCAGCTGCAATATAGTATCTCCTCTCATTCCCTTTGCTACGCAGGTAATGTTCAGCAATGTCGTCTGGGTTACGTTGTTTGTTGATATTCACTTTTGGGTCTGTCATGTATGGGTCATCAAAGCTCACATAATGGTATTCGTATTCACCACCTGATGTTTCCTCACTGTAATATCCTTCCGTAACATATTCGTAGTCTCCATTTTCTTGGGGAAGTCCAATTGTGATTGATGGCTTAAGCTGCCGTGGGGTGAGCGTGTCATTTAGCGACTCTTCATGCCTGGCTCTGCTCAGATCCACTGTACGGTTGGCCTCACTGGGTGCTCCTGTGGTGTTCGTGCAACAAGGCAGTATCGTGTGGTTGGTCTCACCAGGAAACAACGCACGACCAAACCCTGCCATAGAATTGGTGATTTTTGGGGGCTTTTTACTCCTTGGGCTCAGCAAGTGGGTCATTTTTGGATATTCCTTTTTTTTCCTTCGAATCTTGACAAAGGTTCCAGATGTACTCAAAGTATCATTCTTGTTCCCCTCCTTTCCTTTCAGAGTTGGGTGCATGTGGCTCCCTTTCTGTTTTTCTCCCATTAGATATGAGAACCCTTGATACTTCCTCATATGCTTCTTATTTATGAATGCTGTACCATTTCTGCCATGATGATTTAACTTATCACTAACAGATTTATCTAAATTTGCCTCTAATCCCAGACTGCCCTTTGCAGACACCAAATTCCATTCCTCATTTGTCATTTTAGATGAGTATTTCCCAGCCCTGGGCAATGATGCTTCTAGCAAGTTCTTCACTAGTGCAGGGCTGGAATTAGGGCTTATATTGCTTAATGTATGATCTAAAGAAAAAGTGTCTCCTTGTTTATCTTTGGATAGCTTGGGTTCAGAGAGGCTGGATGCATTACACCCACCTCCTACAATGAGGTCCAAAGCAAGCGTCAAGTTAACTGCACGCATGGCATTTTCCATCTTGGTTTCCTCCTCTTCCAGTTCATCATCATAATCAGTTGGAAGCTGGCCAGTTCCCACCATGGCTACATCGGATGTGTTCTCTGCATGATGCACAGAATGAAGTGTACTTGTCTTGTCAGAAAATGAGACATTTTTATTTCGTACATGATTTAGAAGAGCATTCATCTTTTGGACAGAGTAAAACTTCATGGCCAGTGAGTTTCGTCTTTTCCTTTTCCTGTTAATGTTATAATTTCCTTTTCCTGTGCTTTCCTCTTGGTGTCTTTCTGAAAAGAATTTACTGTCCTTTCCGTCAGTTGGAAGCTCTTCTGCAACATTCATTTGGCCTTCCCTGTTGCTCAGCAGGTGTTCACCTGCAGACATGTTACCGTGATCTATTTCATCATTGCTTTGGCTTCTGTTCTCAAATACCAAGTCAGTCCTCCTATCACTTGTGCTAGCTAAAAATAAGTCCTCTTCTGCTATGACTGATGTGTAATTTGACTGGAAAGTTTCAGTCTCGATTAGGGGAAGAGGTGTGATAGGAGTTTCCAAGAACTTAGAGGTGTTTGTGAATTCACTGCTATTTAGAGCTGTCAGACCTGAGCCAGCTGCCACCTCAGAACTCACGGTATCAGTGTCTTTGTTCTGCTCCCAGGCCAGTGCTGTAAGGTTTTGTTTTTCTTCATCGCCTGTTGCCTTCCTTAAGCTGCGGATGGAGTAAAAAGAAGCCAGGTAATCCTGATAATCCAATTCCTCTTTATCTCCTTCTTCTCGCACATCTTCTTCAACTGAGGCAGAAACAGCCTTTTTATCAGTCTTGGTGTAAGTGAAATCCACAACATCAAACATGTCATCTTCCTCATAGTCACATCTGGCATCTCTGAATCTCAGCCTCATGCCGTAACTCATCTCTGGGGTACCCCAGGATGCTAAAAGCCAAGTACCTGCAAGTGAAAGACAAATGTTTATCTAATATGCAGCAGTTACGAGAGTGGACATTGGCTATAACCACTTACACCGTGGTCAAGGCAAGTTGCTGGGTTTGTTTCTACAGGACCTGCTATGGCAGAGTGCTAATCCTCCTCTGGGATTTCCATAAGCTCTCATTGCAATGAAAAACAATTAATAAATGTAAATAAATAACAGCACATACAGCTAAGAGCTGGAGCTCTTCTCCACAGATTAAGCTGTACCCAGGACCGGAGTCCAAATATAACCCATGAAAGACAGGGATATGAAAAAGAAGCAAACAAACAATATAAAGGATCCTATGTTTAGATCTGGATCTAAAATTGGGATCTTTTGAGATAAAGTTTTCATTTTGTCTTGTCCTTAGTGTTGTATGCATTGCCGCACACATAGAGCAATCTGAATAGAACAAGTATGTTCTGAGGTAATGTTGAAAAACATCTGACAAACACAGTATTTTAAAAGCTTCTGAATACATAAAGAATGATCTTTATTATATGAAAGTAATTTGAATTTCCAGTCTGGACACAAAACAATTAAGGTGCCAATCTGAGGCATCTTAGATTAACTTAAAGGTTTTAATAATTCCTCCAAAGCCTAGTCAGAAGGTCAGATCCTAGTCAGATCCTATTTGAAACTAGGATCTGCAGAGAACAAAATACAATCTGTTTCCCTAAACAGCATCAAATCAAGTTCTTTGCTTGTTACAGCTTACTTTTGGAACTAGCAGAAATGACAGAATACACAGAATTAACAAGGCTTGAGAAAACCAGCCTTTATTAAAAAGGTCACATACAATTTTCTATATTTATCAGAGTTTGAAGTGGCCTGCATAGCTTTCCTGATTTCTAACAACAGAAAATTTACGAAAGAAAACATGCCCTAGATGGAAAGAACAGATCACATACCAAAATCAAGCAAAAGTACAACTTCATTACTAGGGAGGTTTCCATAAAGTCTGATGGACTTTTAATGATTCCCAAATCTTGAACAATAAAGAACACTTAACATACAATACATTTTTAACTTGTAAGGCCTTGATGTGGTGGGATCACCGAAAACAAGCTTTGAGGATGTAAAGAATTCGTTATTTAAATAGATAAAAGATTAAAAAAAACCACTGGTATTTTAAAATAGGTTAAGGATACCTAAACCTTGTGGGATTTTAGGATTATCACTAAACACTCACAGCCTTCAATGAGGAAGAATCTCTGTCCTTTTGCAGGTAATTCTGTAAGTGTGGACTACATGGGTTCTAGCATCACCTTTTCAAGATATGGTATTAATCCTAGTTAGACATTGAGATGTATACCCATGGATCAGTGATCCAATTCAGTCAGGCAGACTTTATTGCTGCTAAATGACCACAAGCCTAAGGTAAGGTGTAGCCACTTTGTCCAGTAACGACTAGCATAATTTGACAGTCTCGGCCCTTTCTAGCTAACTCAGGATGGAGAAGTATATGGCAAAACTGGGAATCATACAGTGGAGTTGATACTGGATTGTTTCCAAGGACAATCTTAGAATTTCCTTAAAATTATCACTGCTAACCCCAATACTAATTGTGAAGTGAAAAAACATAACAAAAAAAAACATAACAAAAAGAGCCTGAGTATAGCATACAATTATGCTATGTGCTAAGTCTATGTAGCCAACAAAACTCCATACATACCAGTTGCACTGGGGAATGAGTCAACATTTTCCAGCACTGTGTTTAATCTGAAAAGCTTGCTTTCTTATTTGAGTAAGTCCCTATAGACTGGAAGTTAAAAAATGTCTTAGAAGAGCTGTCAAACACTATAGTTTTACCACTTACCAACATTGTCCATTTCCACTGTGACCGATTCTCCACTCATTGGGAAAAGGTTCAACACATCTTCGTATTTCCCTTGATACAGAAAAGAGTGCCCAGAAAGGCGAACAGAGACAATCTCATCATGGGTGCCAACACTGGAGAAGTGCCACTGAACCACGCTATCTTGGCAAAATCCAAGGATTTCACTGCTGTCAGAAACATAGCCATTTATTGCTAAAAAGAAAGCAAAATAAAAGTGGTCTCAATATTTTCAGAGTAAGAGTTTTAAAACCTCCTGTTCTTTGATGTCAGTCCACTGAACTGGACTCACACTTGCACCTGGAAAGAGACTGGCACAGGGCTGAAACCACAAAAGACTTGACGAAGATTCCAGCTCTGGAAATAGTACCTCTAAGGCAGCAAGGTGCTGCATCAAAGTTAAATAACCCTTGCCTTTACTTCAGGGCCCAGAGCCAGCCTGGTCCCTAAAATATTACATATTTCTGTACAGTGCCACCTGGCATGGTTAGAAGTTCACTGACTCTCTAGAGAATTCCCTGATTGCACTGCATCTGAGAACAAGCAATCACTGAATGCTCAGGTTCACGTAACCTTTCATAATATTCAGCTTGATATCCCACTCACTGTGCATTATGTTCGAGTTATAGAACTTGGGATCATCCCTTTTAACACTGGCGGGGTTGCTGCAGTAGTCGTTGATGTTGTCCTCTATGTACCAGCTCTTATTTTCATCAAACACAGCAAACATTGCCTGCTGCTCCCCATCTGCCTTTTTCTGAAAGACAATCAACACAGCAGTTACATTTTATAAGCAGAGACAGGTATTAAAAACTCAATCCTATTATCTTTCCTACTTACTATGTAAGCAATATAAGCTTCACCAGAGTTGTGGTAAGTGTGATCCAAGGGCTAAGTCAGGGAGTAGGGGGTCAAGACTTCAAGGTCACAATCCTACTACTGCAACCAACCTGTGGTGGAGCACTGAGCAAGCCACTAGCACTGCTGATAAGCAGATGGTGTACGACCAGGCTCTCTGTAAAAGGACCAACCTCCTGGTTTGACCTGAGCACAAGCTTTTGACTTTTTTTCCTCCCAAGTGATGCTCAAGTCTTTACCAAGCAAGATTTCAACAGATGGCAAAGAGAACCACTCTCCCAGAACTCTCCCATGCTGTTTGGGTTGCTCTGGATTCAGTGATGCCTGAGATTGTGAGACCCTGTTGAGCTGTATCTGTTACAGAAAAGGACCAGTTCAGATTTGAATGTGTTTAGAGTCTGAATATATAATAGCAGCAGGAAAGTTTATTGTCAAGTTAAGAAATAGACTTTCAAGTCAGGCTGGCCTTTTGGTCAAATGCTGCTCTTGCTAAGAAAAATCCAAATATAATTCCTCTACTGCTGTAGACAGTTAGAGGACTGTTTCTTCAAGTCATTTCTTCAGGAGCCTATTGGTTTAATGGCTCTCTGCACAACAGTTCTCTAAGGGGAGCAAAACCAAATTCACTGCAGATCAAGTAATATTATTTGACCAAAATCTATCTCCAAGAGGTTGCCAAACATGTTACCTGCACACCCTTCTGTGTCAATGCTTCACTTTTACAAATCAGAAGTGGGCCAATCAGTCCAGAGGCTATATCTCTCTCAATATCTACAGCACTATGATACAGCCTTGTGATACATTGTGCATCCTGTGCAGTGGGTTGGTCCATTTTAGCAATTTTCCATTCATAAGTGTATGTCTTCCCTGGATCAACTCCTCTACTCTGGGTGTCATTGCCTAAGGAAAAATAAAGAACAGTAATGATAAAAACTTAGGGCGAGATCTTTGTATAACATCAGGCTGCACCTTTTAATGAAATTGGTACAGTTATGCCATTTCAAGCTACCTCTGAGATAACTGAAGTTCAGCATGAACTTCTGTGTCTCTCTCTGAAATCACAAACAAGAACAGGAAACTAAGACACCAAAAAAGGCTATTTGTCTATGCTTTGCAGATAATACCTTGGTTTCTCTATAAGGCAACACAACAGATCAGCAGAGGCAGAGCACAGAATTGAGGTCTCCCAGTCATGCACATTCCTAGCCACAGCATCTCCTTGAAAGCAATGAAACCCTCCACAACAGTTAGTGGTAGGCAAAATGTAATTCACAAATTTCTTACTTGTGGCATCCAAGGGATAATCAGCTCCTTCTGCATTCTTTGAAAGTGTCACTCCATGGAAGTACATGCTGTAAGGTCGACTGGCCTTATTTTTGAAAACAATCTGTATTGACAGGCAAATAAAAAAAAGCCCCAAACTTAATATTTAGCAAATCCTTGTCTGAATACATAACAAAGTTTCAACTACAGCAGAATTTGCCTGGTTTCAGCCTGGGAAGTGCTGGAAAGGCAAAGGGATGTCTTAAATATTGTCTGACAATATAAACCCACAGCCTAAATGCTGCTGGTACCCCGCTGCTGGACTTTGTAGAGCCCATTGAGTGAAATTCAGCTTCTTACACTTGGTCTCTGGAAAAATCTAAAAAGATCACTTGTTCTTCCAGCTACTAGGCACACATTACCTCAGGGAATATGAACTTATTGACTCCATGTAAGTTCTTAAGAAGCTTCAATATGGGACAAAACAAATTTAAACAGATTTAAAAACAAATCTTGTCCCATATTCCAAGACCCCAAAGCGATATGGGAGGAAAAGGTAAAGTGTCCTGCCTATGTTTGATGAAGCCAGAAAAAAAAGAAATGCTAAACTCGAATTCAGAGTCACAGAGTCATAGTGGCAATTAAAGGTCATGAAACTTCGTGATGCACCATCAAGCGACAACAGAAAACACAAGTGGATGTGACAGCAGCACAAGCTTGTAACTCAAATGCTTTGCAGCTTCATTTCATAACTCCATGAAAGAACACTTAACTATGAAAGCTGAGTACCACTGTCTAAAACAGCCAGAAAAAGCAGCAACATAAGGAATGAGGGCTCATGAAGTTTGGTTTCGCATCCATATCCCCCCAGAAGTCCACCTAGGTCTAACTATTTTCTGTTTTGGACCACTGTCAACATATAAATATATTTTACAAAGACTGTGAATGAAGTGTGTTTATCTCGTAAAATAAAGCACAATCATGGAAACTATAGAGGGAATGCTGAAAAATCTAAGCTAAGCACGGTCACTTGTGATCATACCTTTTAACAGGGCCAATATTTATAACATTAGCTATATTTTTTGACAAAAAACCTAAATCAAACTAGTTCTTTTGTACCTCTGCCCAACAGAAAATCATGCTATAGTATAAATAATCTCTGAATTTGTTACTTACTTTAACTTTGTCATTGAGTTGAGCTCTGATAATAGGGCCCAAGATTCCAGTTTCTTTAGGATGAGGATTTTCCAGACGTTTAGTGAAGCTGGCATCAGTATATTGCCTAAAAATAGCTTTTTTATACTTTTTACCTATGAGATTTGAGAAGTTGTCCAAGTGCTGTGCTTTATAGTGTCTTAAAAATAAAGGAAAAGACAAATGATCAACAAAACTTGAATAGTGACATCTATTAGAATACAGAATTAGTACTCAAGCAACTGGTAGAAACCTTACTGCTTGAAAAAAAAAATCCAAACCCTAAACTAACCTAATGCTCTTCACCTCAAATTCTAACCTAAATTAGGTAAGAAGAAGCTTGGAACATTATTGTGTCTTAGTATCACATATGACCAATTAGTATCAGAGTTTACATTTAATTTAATAGGATATACATGCAAGAAAGAAACAAAACTGAAGCAGCAGCTACATTTTCAAGGTAAGATAGCAGAAATCACTGTTCTCCTTTTACAAAGGCATAGTTGAGCATAGAAAAAATAAACAATTTGCTTACAGTAGCAAAGACTGTAGGAGAGACAGGAACAGATAATCTTAATCCCAAGCACCATAGAATAAGTAGTGTTACACTGAAGTTTAAAAACATTAGAATTGTTAATGCTGAGAGCAAAACTAGGATAAATACTGTGAAGTAGCACAGAGTAACATGTTTGTCCTGGTCACTTGTGCTTCAAAAAAAAGTTACTGAACAGGGATAAGCTCTGCAATTTTGAACAAAGGAGATAAAATCAGAGAGCACTGAGGTAGTTAAGTAATGTCATGTAACCAGCAGGGAAAGATATAAAAGTTTGCTCCATGCAGTCCAAGAGCAAACAAGAAGGGAAGCAAATCATACCAAAGAAGAGGAATACTTAGAGAACTACGTGAACACTATATTCTAAGGAGGTATATGAAACTATAACCCCATACAGGGTAAGGAATTTGTCTTGTTCTGCTTAAATCCTTAAAGGTCCTTATGACCATCAGCTCATAAAGTCGCCAGTACTCTAGCAGTGGGGAATTGACAGACTGCTAACTTAAGCTTACAGTGCACTGCCAACATTGTGTACTGTGACCACATGTGTGTTACCGAATTCCTTCTATTTACTTAAGTTGAACAAAACAGCCCAATATGTTTACTTATTATGACTTTTACTACACCTACATTGATGCCATGCGAAGGTCATTTATAGAGAGACCTCTCTTTCTCCCATTCCCTAAACACTTTATTGTACTGAACTTTTAAAAACTTTTATTATCCAGAAATATTCCCTCCCTCCCTTTCCCTTCTTCTTAAGGATTGTTTATTTCAGCAGAATTCATGTTGAAAAGTAATTTAGAAAACAGGCTTGTATGATACTTCGGGCATTTCTGAAGTCATCTTCATATCTTGGGCTCCCCGTTACAGGCAAAAGAAGGTGTCTGTCCACTTTAGAGCTCCTCAGCAAAGAAAGCCATTGGGACACTGGTGAGAGTCCAGTGGAGAGCCATAGTGATTAGGGAGCTAAAGCGCATGACATAGAAGCAAAATCTCGCTTTATTCAGTTGTCTGAAGACACGGCTAAGGGAATCTCTTATTTTTACCTTCAACTATCAAGCAGGAGATTATGGAGAGAACAGAACCAGACTATTCTCAGAGTTGCATTGTGAAGAGATGAGACACAACGGACACAAGGTGCAACATGAGAAAGTCTGATTAGATATAAGGAAAAAACTTTTTCACTGTGAGGTTGCAAAGGTGCCCAGAGAAGCTGAGGCATCCCCATCCTCGGAGACAATGAAAATTTGACTGGATAAGGCCCTGTGCAACTGGATCCAACTCTGCTGTTGGATCCAATTTTGCCATTGGATCCCCAGAGGTCCTCTCCAACCTGAATTATTCCATGATTTCATGTTCCATATTATATTGACAAAGTATTATTTTACCTATCAAGGCTGTCTGGAATATTTGGGGCATAATCCCAAGTAACTTCTTCTGCAGCAATGAAATATTCCCAGCTTTTGACCATAAGACGTTCTTTATAGGAGAGACGACTCTTCTTCACCTCTTTGTCCCCACAGTCTTTTATAGTGAGGTAACCATGCATTCCAGCTAATTGAGAAGAAACAGTACCACAGTGATTTTGCATTTTATGAACCCTTACCACTTCAGCTGCATTTCTCATTTCTTTAGCTAAGGCTGCCAGCAAGTGTTTGTTCATCTGACTGCCATCCCTTCAGGTTTGAAAAGGCTGCATCCATGTAGACTATATATAGGCTGGGAGCCTTCCAAGGACCCCATATTAATCAAATTGAATACAGAAGCTCTCTCAACTAGCCCTCTTTGAAAATACCAGCTGAACAAATAGAAAGCTATTTCCCAACCGCCCTTTTTTTTTTTTTCAAAACATGTCTTCCAGCTCTTGTAAGAGAGACATTTATCTCATTCTTTAAAACAGAATTCTGATCACTGCTGAGAGAGAGATACCCACTTTCAAATGATGAATAACAAATATTTTCATCAGATTCAGTGACCCTTAGCTGCAAGTGCTCAGTTTCTCAGAAAACAAGTGGTTCCCTTAATCATTTTATAGCAGTGCTTATCTGAACAGCTCACAGAGACTTAGACACTGGAGTACTGATTCACCATTGTTCTGTGATCTGCAGACAGCAGTAAAGCTGCAGATAAGAATGCCTTTTAGTTCATCGTGCACTTCTCATCCAACAGAATGCCCTGTTCTCCAGTGGTTTCTTAGGAAAATGACAATCATCTGAAACACAGTAACTGTACCATTGCAAAACAGTAGAAGCCATTTGGGACATACAGAAGAGAAGGACAACTCTACAGTTGCCTAATAAATAGATATTTTCTTGCCTTGCAGGTGCTTTTGGACAAGGGAAGATATCAGCCACTTTCCTTCCTCACTCACTGTCATGTTTACTGTGGTTGATGCTCCTCCCACTAGGGTAACGGTAGAAACTCGGCGATGTCTTTGCTCCATGGATTGGCCGTTGATATGAATGGAGAAAATTTCTGGCTTAGAACTCATTCCTATCAAATGCCAGCTAATGTTGTCATATGCACAAGCCTCTAAATCTGAAAGAGAAATTACAGTAGGGTTCAGAATACTGTTAAATCATGCAAGCTCTCTATGCACACTAGGTCTGAAGTGAATCTTCGCTCAAAATATTAAAAAAAAAACCCCAAACAAAAAACCTGTGATTCCTGTGATCAGTGCTAGCAACAAGAATTTTCAAAAGCTTGTAAATAGAACAGATACCAAGATCCTGTACATCAGTGGAAGACAGGTGTTTAAATCTGACATGCAAGTGATGGTCTGACTTATAATGAGCTGGGGAAGAAAGAAGAAAACCAGTAGCTTCTTTTGGAAAGCTGACCAGTCCTTGTTAAAAAGGTGGTCAAAAAAATAAAAGGCAGCAGCCAGAAAAAAAAAGGCAAGGATCCAAGCCAAAGAATGAAGTCGTATCTAGAGACAGTAATCGCCCTATCCAATATTTGTTTAAAAAACCCCACCTAAGACAGTCTTTGGTATTTGTTTAATGGACTGGACAGAGATATGAAAGTATTTCCTTAGGAGAACAAGGGGAAAACATTAGTGACAGAACAGCCCCATTACCACCTTCCTAGTCTTCCCACTTAATAGTCTAATTTAATGGTAACTGACTACCCACTTCCAGGAAGTTTTTCACCTAGTATGTTCTAGATGCTGTAAAACCAGCAGTTCACTTAACCATATCACTGTCTCTCCATCAGCTCAGTAAAAGAAAAAAAAAAAAGAATTGAGGGATTTCTTATTTTTTAAGGGTTAGTAATCCTGTTCTTCGGTCAGAACGCTTCTTAGAAGTAATCTTGTTCTTATCAGCAATATGACATGACTTCCTTCCAGCAGCAGTTTCTGTTCTAGAATTTAGAAGCTCACAGACATAGTCTTAAAAAAGGCTGTATCCCATTCCTCCAAATTCCTGTTCCCTTGCATAAAAAAGCAAACAAAGGTAATACACAGTTTTCATCAATGTCAATTTCATCTCACATAAGCCTGAAAAGTACCTGGTAACGTTCCATCAGTATAGCCGTTAATTGTGTACTTGAGTGATGATGATCTTTGCCAACTCTTGTTTTCATCAAATACACCAAACATCAGTACAAACTCCTTGTCAAAAAGTTTCTGTGACCCATCCTCATTTAGGCTTCCTATGAAGAGGAAACAACAGGTCTTAATTTGAAGCAGAAGCAAAGCAGTTTTCACATCAACATAGTGGCATTAATGTGTATTTAATGAGTTTGCATCACCTGTTAGCATGTACTGGCTGAGCCTGACCAAAACAAGACCTTAAGAATGCTTATAAAGTGATTTTATTTCTGAAAATACTTTTGGGTTGGGTAACCATGAAAACAAAAATCTGTAATATCCCAGAGGAGATTAAACAACATGCAATGAATTGTCTCCAACAATTCTGACAATGCATTGTAGGTATCGCCTTAATGAATGGGAGCACCAAACAACCTTCTGCCCACCTTCTGCTCACCATCAGACACTGGCCTCTCTTTTGAGGCTGCGAAGCAAGGAGAAGAATGGTGACAGAGGCACCTGCAGTGTGAACACTGCCTTTTCAAGCACTACACTGAAGACATCAGCTCCTTTAAAAAGCATAAAACCAACCACTCAGCAAACCACCTTTACATACAAAAAACTTTGACAAGTACTGCTGAATTGGAGCTCTCATAAGAAACCATCTAGTTGAGTTTGTGATACAGGTGTGATTTCTGTCAACAAGTAGAATTCATTCTGGACATGCCACACAGAACCAGTGTGATTTTACTGATTCTTTCTGTAGATTGCTCACATCAAAAACTTCCATTTGCTACTTTCAATACATAATCCAGGACTAAAATATATGCCCCTCTGGACTGCAGGGACTAAAAATTTGGGAGCTTGCTGATTATTCTACTTAGGAAGAAACACTAGCAGTGGAAGCAGTTATCTTTAATGTAATCCTTTTTATTTATGAGAGGCTACAAAGTCCTGTTTTCCTGCACAAAAGAAGTCTCAGATCAGAGGAATTTATCTGCTTGTCACGCAAAGAACATTTAGTTAGTGCTTTAACTCAAAAGTCCACTTTTTTATAACCTTCCCAGGTTATACCATCTATGCTGTTCTTAATGTGTCAGACCATGGTGGATCGACCCCAGTCAGCAGCCAAGCACCCACCCACCCACTTCAATGCTTCCCTGCCCCCAATAGGACAGGGGAGAGAGAACAAGAAAAACAGAAGTGAGAAAACTTGTGGGTCGATAAAGGTGATTAAACAAGCGAAAGAAAGAGGGGAAAAAAACCCCAAGCAACACAAAGGAAATGACTCATCTCCCACAAGCAGTCCGATGCCCAGCCAGTCCTCTCAGGAACACCCATCTTGAAAGTCAACACCCCTCATTCTCCCTGCACTTCTGCTTCTTCCTCTACCTCCAGTCTTTATTGATGAGAATGATGTTAACATGGTAGGAAATATCCCTTTGGCCAATTTGGTTCATCTGTCCAGCTGTGTCCCCTCTCAACCTCTCACGCTCCCCCAGTCTACTAGCTGGGGAGGTCTGAGCACAAAAAAGAGAAAGCTTTCACACTGTGTAAGCACTGTTCAGCAACAGCTAAAACGTGGGTATATTATCAACATTAGCTAGTCACAAATTCGAAACACAGCACTGCATGAGGTGCTGTGAAGAAATCAACTCCATATCAGCCAGATGAAATACACAGGCGTGTTGCACACCTACCACAAACAGTACCCTGTCAAAGAAACCCTGTTCAGAAATCTTAAAAATGTGATTAGTTAGCCATTTGTCTTTGCTCTAGCTAGAAACATATGCTCAAATTGTCTTGAAGGTAGTGGTCAAACTAATCCATCTCAAACTCGTATCCAACTCAAGCCCACAATATATGCATGAATTTGAGAAGCCTGAGAAGGAAGGAAAGCATGTAATTCCAAAGCATTTGTCCAGATTAACTCCACCAGTATGCCATAAAATGAACACATACACACGGAGAAAGAAAACCCAAGAAAATTACAAAAATAACAAGTCCTAGATAATACTAAAAGCACTAATTCTCAAAAAACTTCAGGAGGCACATAATTAATACTAATGCCACTCCTTTGAGGTGGTATGAGTAGGTGTGTTCTGCAATTAAACAGATATCTATCAGTGAAAAGAGTGCTCTTGTACAACCCACACTGAATCACTTTTATGTTTACTTTCCGGAAAGCTTCAAGGTCCAAGTCCATGCAGTCTGCAGTCTATACAAAAGGCTTGACTCAAACTGCAGGGATAGAGGATCAAACTAAGTAACTTGCAGAGTTTTCACTAAAAGGAGGATATATAACTTGGAAAAATTTAGGATTTAAGGGACCAGGAAGTAGTTTAAGTAGCTTACACAGTGGCATACTGTTTCAAACTTCCCTCAAATCAGTGGTATAGACCTAGCAGTTATTTACAAGCCTACAAGACAGCAGTTCGTATTAGTGGAGATGGAATTCAATGATTCAAACTGCTAAAATCTCAAGTTCCTGACAGTATGCAAAGCAATTTTTGAGGACTTATAATCTGTTCACATTTGGCCGTATTTTCAAATTTCGAGCAAAAGACACGCTGTTCTGCAATTTCAAACCCTTGTTACAGAAGAGAGACTGCTATAGCATCTTGATCAGACAGGCTTTAAAAAGCATGTGTAAAGAAATTATTTCCTGCCTTATTCTCCAGAATGGCTGAACCATTTTGAAAGAAGCTTTAAAAAAAAAAATCTATTCTAAGACAGGAAATTTAAGGTCATATATTTAGCCGTTAGGCAACTGAAAATGCAACCAGTACAGGCAAATATATCTATTAATAGTGCTCTCTGTCCATCTATAATTATAGGATGGAGCTGCATGAAAGATGGCATTTAAAAACTTTAACATCTAAAAGAAAGATGTTGAAAACTATTTACTTTACACTGCATGTAAAGACGTGAAAAGGAAAATAATATATGTTCCCTCATTATCATACAACCTTAACTTTATTAAGAAATGAAATTGTATTACCTTATAATAGTAGTCTTAAAGCATTTCATTACCTTTCTTGCAGATAAGCAGTGCTCCAATCAGACCAGAGTTAAAATCCATTGCCATGTTCTCATGAGAATAATACGCATAAGTAAGACAGGGAAGGTCAGCTTCTCTTGGACCAACTTCTTCTGTTATATCCCACACATATGTGTAGACCTGGCCTGGAAGTACAGCATCATCTTGTTTTTCTGCAGATGATGTTCTGTCATCGTACAGGGAGCCTGCCAAGAAAAATGTCAGTAGGGTGGCATGAAGACAAAGAGCAATTACAGTATCTGGAGTATCCTCCTACAATCAATTCCAAAAGCTTCGTTTGTTTCTTGCCTATATGATAGTTCAGCTTCAAAGAGATAACTGATGATTCTACTCACGTTGTGGAGAGCAGCATAGGGGACAGTAGCTATTCCACCATCCTGTTTCTTACAGATTAAAGATTTCCTAGAATTGTCATCACTGCCAAAATGTGGGGCTCATCATCAGTCCGACTAGGGTTAGGATGGCATGAAGCTTCAGCCTCTGCTCACTAATACTCTGTGGAAGAATACTGCCCACTTTGTCAACTTTCTAGCTGTCTCTCATAAAGCCATTGCGCGAGCTAGCATTGCCTTGCTGCCTTAGAACTTTTGCGCACTGCATATCCAGATGGCAGTAATGGCTTGTGTCTGTGCCTATCATATGCAACAAATCTGCAACATGACAAAGGGGAGCCAGAGAATCAAAATCCTAGGTGCAAAAGGCATGTTGATAAGATAGTCAAACTGAACTGCCTATCACTTCCAGTAACATATTCTGTTCAACTCCACAAGATGGGGTTGCAAAACTCTTTTTGTACTGACACAACAAAGACAGACTTGAATAAATTTGTAAACTGCAGGTCAGGGCTCTGGCTCAGCACCCAGTGCAGGGCAACCTAAGAAGCATAGGCAAACTCACTCTGTGCTAATGCAGACATTTAACTGTCAATTCGGTCACAGTTTATGATCTCTTTTTGCTAGTGTCATGAGGGTTCCAGGAGCAGACCACCACAAAGCTGAGCATGAAATGATGAGTATCAGAACAACATCAGCAGCACTGTCAACTACCTTTACCAATAATGCCTTGATGTATGCTATTGCAAGGGATTTGGAAAAGTTTTTTTTAAGACCTGTATTTAAGAGTTTACATGTTCTGAAACAGAATATTTCTCAATTATGTAGGGGTTGGACCAGACGATCTCCAGAGGTGCCTTCCAACCTCAACCACTCTGTGATTCTGTGGAATAGTATTAGCACACAGGCAGCTGGTCAGGAGACTATGCATGTCAGATGACACCTGTATTCGTAGTATTACACAAATGAACAAGAAAGGAGCTAACGATGAGTGTGAAGTTTTAATCCAGGATCAACAGATATTTGTGTTACACATATCCTCAAATATTAGTCTAGGCCCTCTCAATATTTCATGCAGTAGTCTACAAGTAAATGAACAAAACATGGAGTTTTTATAGCATTTACCTTCTGCATTTTTGTTGTAAACTATGCCTTGGGCATGAATACTGACTGGCTTGTCAGCCATATTCTTAAGGTGAACTACTAAAGTATCTCCCACTTCAGCATGCAGAGTTGGTCCCAGAAGTCCTGTAGTTATTCAAGATAAAGAGAGAGGAAAATGTGAGCAAAACAGTATGTCTAGTGAAACAGAGTTATCTCCATTAGGGAACATGAGCTCTCAAAGTACAAGTTGCAAAATTAATACAGGCAGAGAATCTAATACCACTGCAATGAAGATTTACCCGTAAAAAGGCATGTGAGGATTTAAAACCTGCAGCTCACAGTCAGGAACGTTACAAATTGTGTACCTGGCAACTAGCACTTTAAAAAAAAAAAAATCACAGAAAAATGGTAGATTTAGGAAAAAAAGTTTTTTCCCAGTACAGAAAATTTATCAAAAGGTTCATGCTGAGATTCATTGGGAATTTCTAGGAATCTTTCACATATAATTTAACTAAACAGTTTTAGGAAGGCAAACATTTTATAGCTTAAGAGTTTAGAGAAAGGCATTCAAGCACATTTCTTTGAGTAGCACTCTCAATGCCAGAAGTGACAGAACAAAAAGATTTTTCAATCCCAAAAATGTTATCTAAAGAAATAATTAGTTCCATGTTGCAAATTTCTTGAGGCATTGCCTGCAAGAGGTTTCAAGAGAGGCCTGTATCTCTACTCCCCATGTTGCAAAAATAAGCAATGGAAGAAACCTGCTAAGACAACCTTTAGCTTGTTAATCTCTTTGCTTGTAAACTATTTTGTAAATTTCTTTCTCTGAAAAGAAAGAAGCAGTTGCAGAAAAGACAGGAGAAGCAGTTGCAGAAAAGACAGGAGAACAAACAAAACTGGAAGGAATCAGATGATAGACTAGACTTTTCAGGGAAACTTGTAACAATTTCATATCAGCAATCCCTTACACATTTATTTTGAAATCTAAATCTGAACATCTAACATCTGAAGTTATTTTATCTATTTATCTATTATATCTATTTATATTTATTTAATATGCAGACAGACTATACAAGCACCCTGCGTAAGTATCAGAACACAAGTGCCATACTTATGTATGGCACAAGTATGAGAACTTGCCTCCATTCATTTAAAGCTTCTTCAGGCAGTAACAGACACAAAGGCAAGGGATATCTTTCACACCCAACCTCATAGTTCTTCTTTTCCTTTCCACTGATCTATCAAAACCATATTTGGTCTCAGGCCTTAGGCTCCTTCCATGTGAATTTATAGTGTCACCACTATGACTGTGCTGTATAAGTCTAAACGTGTATGGGAAGTCTCATCAGCTGCTGAAAACAAAGGGAACAACTTTGTACAGTGCAATTAATTTGCAGATAGCACTGAACTCCAGCCTCTGAAAATCCAACCTCTCCATGGCCTTTGAAAGCCTACTGCACTGTAGAGACCTCATTCCCTGTGCCTATTTAGTGTATGTGAAAAAACAATGGACACAAAAATACAAGCTTGCTTAGCTTGTTACTGGCTTTATGACAAGCAACAAACAAAAATACTCAGAACATTTCCTTCCTGTTTACCTGCAAATATATTTGTTGGTTTTTCTTTTTTAAAATCCACTTCATACTCTCTGTAAGAAATTTTCTTAAACACAGGATCTGAACGTTCCAATCTGAAACCAAAAGAGTTACAAAAAAGTTAAAAGGACAGATTCCTACAGATGTCATTGATGTTTAATGGATACCTCAGAAAATGAATCCTGGAATTACATTTAATCACTTGCACATTTTGCTGAAGGCAAGGCACATGGTCCAACTCTTTGTAGTGTCTTCCCCTCTTTCTCTTACTCTACTGAATCTATGATGTTCCTGAGCTAGGCCACTTCATATTTGACATTCAGTTATAGTACCTGCACAATTTACCCCTGATTTTGCCAGTGGTTTCTATAGGTCTTTTTGATTCTGTGATGAAGATGTCTTTGTCTATTTAAGACACAGAGGAAGATGTTTTTACCATGCTTAATCTAGAGAGCATCTGACAAAACACAGTGAAAGAAACCTGAACTTCTCTTTATTCAGACCCACGCTTGAAATTTAAGACTCACAACAGGGATCCTACAACAGCATTAAGAGCAAGCTCCTGCAGCAGCAATAACTTTGCAGGCAAGCACAAAACTGTTCCCTGACAACCACTAAGTATTTCACAGAAAGTCAGAAAATTGCTTTCAGAGAAACACTGCAAGTGTCCTTAGTCTTGCTATGTAAATGACTCAGGCACCCAGTAGATGACACAATGTCTTCTTAGAAAACATTCTAGCAAGCAGAAGGAAACCAGCAAACAACACTCTATAAGCCCTATAAAGTTCATCAGACCTGTTCAGGATGTGACTTGCTCTAAACACTTACACGAGATATCTCAGTAGGCACTGTATATGAAAAACTCCTAGCTAATCACAGAGTATTTCAGCTGAGATTTGAGGCAGTCTTGGGGGTCTCTACTGCATGAAAACAGTCTATCCACAATGTGATGTTTAACGACACAGCAGTTGATGTTTATATTGATGCATTCAGTGCAGATGAGAATGAAGTTCTAGCTACTAAATCCACATGCTCAGGTCAATACTTCAATGGCATTTGGCTTCACATTCCTACATTTAAATCCTGTTTTCTTCTCTCGTCAGTTTGACATTATGCTTATACCAGCTGTATTAAACATCCAAGGGGAGTTTTAGAAATCATAAAAACTTTGTTTTAATTAAGTGTTGACAATAGAATAGTTAGAAAGCCTAAATCTGAACTGGAAATGTCCTTTCCATAAAATCCAGATATGCAATATATATTTATAAAAAAACAAACTAAACAAAAATAAAGAAAATAAGCCATCCACCAATATTTAAAAAATGCAGTAGTATCCAAATAGACCCTTCAATGTAGGAGAACAAGTAATTTGTAACATTTCATGCCACTTGACAAACAAATAAAAGCTGTACGGTGCCTATAGTGAACACAGCATAAGAATGAAGCCTAATTTAAACAGAATTCTAAATTACATCCAAGTTTTGTCACCTGTAGCATTGTACTTGCAGTGTTTATAATCCTAAGGATAACAGTGGTAATACAAATAAAATATTTTATATGCTTGATTGGCATATGCATGTAGACTGGCCATTCTGCAATGCTATCTGAAAAAAAAATAAAAATCCGTATTTTCACTTAATGAAATACAGCAATGCTTGATTGTACAACCTTTACTCGGCAGAACTCAGGATGGACTTTTCACAAAAACTACTGAATAACTCAGAAACAACACATCTAGTTCCAAAGTTCATTGGGCTTCTGATTTAAGTGAAAGTGATAGTATTCAAATTGGAACATATTTATTCCTTCAGTAAATTCTAAAGTCTGAAAGTTTTCAAAATCTTACCAAACCATGGCTCAACTTAACAATGCTCAAAGTCCATATATCTAAACTAATTACATTAAAAAAACCAAACAACAAACATCAACCCACACAGAAGATGACAAAAGCAAGCCCTGGAACATATTTAACAAAAGTGCTCGGAAAACATAAAAATAATTCTATCCACTAATGAAGTAAATAAAAAGGAGCTTTTAATACTTCACTGGCTCCAGTTCAGATCATGCTGTTTAAAGTCACACAAGTTCCTCTGAAGTCAACAGATCAGGCTCTAAAGTCCTCCTGGGCTCTAAAATTCCACAGGAGACACAAAACACTTTCAGTCATAAGAGAGGCCTAGTTTCATCCTCCTTATCCTGTACTTTGTTACCTGGACTTTTCCTCAGATTCCGGTTTGTAGGTCCAGCTAGTGATTTGAGCAGCTATATAGTGCTCCCTGACCTTCACAGCTCCCACCACACGCTTCTCTGAGTCTGGCCACCATGAACCAAGTAGAAGCAAGAGAAAAAGACGCATGCAGTGGAGTGTCATGGTACAGATGCCTGCTGATGCTGTTCTGGAAGACAAAGCAGAAACCGCTGCTTTTATTGCTGTTGCTGCTTCTAACTTCCCCTCAGAAATGAAATAATTGTGATGCAAGAGGGTAACAGCATTTGCTACGCTCAGGTCATTGCTCTTCACCTCCTCCTCCCCTTGCTGACAGGGATCCAATAGAGATTTAAAAAAAAAAAAAAAAAAAGTTTAAACTACCTTCCCTCCCTTCCTCCACACCATCTTCAGTGAGACAAGCACCAAGGAGAAGCAGACTGTGGTTGGGCCATTGTCTACTGAAGCAGCAGGATATCAGAGGCAGAAAATAATTACTTAGATTACTTACAATTACAGGATATTTGACTTGCATAGTTAGGAAGAAGGGGGGGCATATCTTCCCAGAAAACAGAAACCCAGCACACGGCTGGTACTAATGGAAATTTCCCAGTTAGATGCTACATCTCCTAAGAAATCATTCCCAGTTAGAAAGCAAAGTGCTGAGGGATTAGGACTAGAGGAGTTAAATCTAGTTACAATCTAGTACATATACTGCACATTCATAATAGTAAGTCAGTAACCTTTGCAAACATGTTGACAGCTTCAGTTTGGTTCCTGCTATACTCTCAAGTGCCTCAGGTAATGGATAACGAACTGGCCTCTCAGTGGCAGCTAACAGGTCAGCCTGAAGACTTGTCCATAGTCAGAATCCTAATCTAGTCTTGATTAGGATCTATTGACATTTATCAAAAAAGAAGTTATTAGGAAAATACCTTTTGATAAGCTAATTACCAATGTCAACTATATCATGAAAAATGTTTCCTTGCTTTTGCCAGTGCTGAGAAATTTGCCAAAACAAGAAGAAAATTGAGTGTTTCCTGTACACTGGGATTACTGGAAAAAGAAAAATCCCTACCTATTTTTTTCATGGACAGAAGATCACATTTCAACAATGTTTTGCTAATGTTTTCTTTAAAAAAATTACCTAAAGCCTCAAATCAAAACAATTCCACTCCAGATCCAGACAAAAATAAGGATAACATTTCCTCAGACTACTTCAGAAGAAAACCTGATCAATTCTAGGTTTGACATATTGTTCAACAGCAGAAAGGTCTAACAGGTAGCTTGGTTAACTATCCAAAATACATAGTACCACATGGCTTTAGAATTCTGAGATAGGGAAGATGATTGGAAAAAAGTTCATGAAGACCAATACCTGAACGCTCCCTACCAAACCTCAGAATAGTCTGATGCCTAAACCTGGAAACAATTGTGATCACTTGGACAGCATAAGACTACATACATCATGGAACAGTTTCAAGGCAGTAAATTGAACTTAAATTCTTGCATACTGCATCTGCATAGAGTTAATCACTTGCTCCCATGAGCCACTTTGACACATACATTATGTATGAAAAAGATTCAAAATGTAGAATCCAGCAACAATTAAGTTGGACCAGAATGCATGCACTGATACTAAAGAGGAAATCTTGGGTAAACACAGTCCAATAGTATTTAATTACTAATTAGAATCATAGAATTGTTTAGGTTGGAAAAGACCTTTAAGATTTGAGTCCAACAGTTAACCTAGCACTGCCAAGGCCACCACTAAACCATGTCCCTAAGCACCATATCCACGCATCTTTTAAATACCTTCAGGGACGGAGACTCCACCACTTCCCTGGGTAGCCTGTTTCAATGCTTGACAACCCTTTCGGTGAAGAAATTTTTCCTAGTATCTGATCTAAACCTCCCCTGGTACAACTTGAGGCCGTTTCCTCTTGTCCTATCACTTGTTACTTGGGAGAAGAGACTGAACCCCACCTTGCTACAACCTCCTTTCTGGTAGTTGTACAGAGCAATAAGGTCTCCCCCCTCAGCCTCCTCCTCTCCAGGCTAAACCGCAGCTCCCTCAGCTGCTCCTCATAAGACTCGTGCTCTAGACCCTCCATCATTAATTACAGTTTTGGTTAAAGAACTCACCATAATCCTTGGTAAACTACTTCAATAATTTTTAATTAAGAAGTAATACTACTTGTCTCATTTCTACTCTGGTCCCCATCTCATCTCTGGCCCAGGATCTATTTCAATGCTGATGCTTAAGAGTTTGACAGTTGGTGTGAAAATGTAGATTTTTATGAAAGAAATCTCTGGGCAGATGGACAATTTCTTCCTTTGATCCAGAACCAATGGGAAGCAGCTGGTGCTGAAGTGCCTGGCACATTCTGTTAAACCTAAACCATCTTAACTTTTAAGTTAGCTTGTCTTATCTCCAGGTCTTCAACATTCATACAGAAGTACACAAAAAATATCATTCATCTTTATCAGAACAGAAATGGATTCACGTCGAGTCCAGCCTCCACCCACTGGGCTTTACAATGCTGTTCCTAAAGTTCCTTCCCATACAGGGATTCAAAGACCTCCTTGTATTCTTATGTGACTGGCTGAGGAGATGAAACTAAAATACATTTTAAATGAGTCTTCCTATAATTCTGTTTAATGAACTATGTGTTTGAATTTGAATTTTCCATTATAGGTTTCTAATACTTAATTCTTCCCTTAGTAAAAGCTAAAATATTGCAGGCTAAAAATTAATACCCAGAATACCTGCTTAAAACCCCTTGCTTTGTGACTGTGAGCTGGGAATCATCAAAGCTGACATCAATTAGTTACTTCTCTTTTATCCATTTTGATGAATTTGGAGGTTGTATTTTTCAAATTTCTTGGCCAATGAATCATGCAGTACCAATCAAATGGTAAAAGGAATTAAAAATGCATTATTTTTACAATGGTGGCTGATAATACTGATAGTTTTACAGAAAAGTATCAAATTAGACCAGATACATGCTAATCAGTGTAGCTTAATGAAAGTGTATTACCCTTCTTTAATCCTTTAAGAACAAAAAGTCCAATATTGGCTACTCTCTTATTTTCTTCTCTTCCCACACCTCTTGGGATCAATGTAAGATTGAGCCATCTGAAATTATCTGGGTCAGCCTGGTTTGGTTTTTCTTTCCTTTAAGCTATTGCATCACATTGTCTCCTCTAGGCTTTGGGAAGTTTCAGTGTTCTGAAAAATCATTATTAATAATCCAAATAATCCTTGTTCCCTTTCACCCAACCATTAATTTCTAGTATCTGTCTGACATGGTGAAAGTCTAATACATACACATAATTTTTTTAGTTAGCACTGGTTGCCTGCAAGCTACTACTATTAGTCACATGACAAGTGACTACACAACACATTCTTCAGGCTGAAGTCTTCCAAGAAAATGCAGTTTTATTATCTATTCATGTATATATATAGCCATGATCTTAGCTGCTTCTACTTCACAACACTGCAGATGTAGCAAACTTCGTATTTTATCCTCATTGCTTACCTACATGTTCAAATGTAATTTACATTTGGTCACCAGCAACACCAAAAGATCTTGTGGGCAAAAGCTGTGCACGGAGGAGCCTGAGTCTAGTCCATACTGGCAAAACAATCTCTGCAGCACAATGAATAATGTTATTCCCAAAATAAAGCAGTACCTTTGGAATATACTGATACTGAAATGTCAAATGAAAACAAAGCACGGAAAGAGAACCGTAAGCAATGCTTTTTAACGCTAAAAGCATGTCTGCACCTTCTAACTGGGGAAGATTACTATCTGTTCTGATACCCAGTAATTATGGTCTCAATTCTTGTTATGCTACCTGCAAAAAAGATACTAAGAGTATACTCACAGTACTGCTCTAAGGCTGACCTCTAAAACTAACAAACATTGCTAGTTTTATTACCCAGAATAGCCTAGGCTGAGTCCGAGCAATCAGGAACAGATAACTCTTTAAAAGAGCTGTAAAGTGGTGCTTTGTACTTTCTGCAAGTTATAGATCAGGATCCACAATAAACTTGGTTCTACTTCATCACAAATGCTATTCTAAATGCTAGCAGGCAGCCACGTCCTGATGGCTGCCATCAGTTTTAACAATTGTATTATAGTAACTGAGAGGGAGCTAGTATAGAGAAGAAAAAGTTGCAAAACAATTATTGAATTGGTTGCTAATAATGCCCTAATATCTGTCTCTTCCCCCCATCCCCCATTCAAACACACAAATCGATGCAGGATGGTCCAAGCAAGCACACTTTGTTTAGTGTCGGGTGAAAGGATTTAATGGGCAAACAAGGAGTTAATTATTGATCAGCAGTGAACACATCATTCTGAAATAGGTAAAAGACAGAGGGGGCACTTACCAGATCTGCCAGGCACAACTTGGGGCAGAAGCCATCAGATAAATATCCTCACTTCTGCAAGAAGGCACTAAAGCCAAGAAAGGTTAATCTGTGAAACGGCTCATTTTAGAAGTTTAAAGTAGATGTACTAAGTCAAAAACCACATGAGCAGACAAAAAGAAAAGATGCCCATGAAACTTACGCTTTCTTTCAGACAACAACTTAGTCAAAAGGAATACATACATGCATTTTGTATTTGATGGCAGCTCATATAAGAACACATTCTGCGTAACTGTCAAAAGGCAGGCAGGCGGTATAACTTGTGTGGTCATACACACACTACAAGGCAGTAAGAATGCAGAACAGCATTTCAGACTGCTCTGGTGCTAAAGGCTTCAGAAGATACATAATCATGTTGATTTAAACCTAAATACATTCACATGTTTTAAACTTGAATTTTTTCCTTAGGAGAAAAGGAAGTGTCCTTGATTAAATTGGGTTTTTCTCCAGTCAATGTTTGCCAAAACCAATTATTTAGCAGGACCCAAAACTATTTGCACAGAAATGCTGAATTCAACAAACAGTTTCAAGGAAAAAAAAAATATGTTAATTTTCTAAATATTGTAAAATCTAACTTCAACACTTTAATGAATTTGTCTAAGAGTGCTGGCTTTTGGTTTGAAAAAAATTCATTTTAAGGAACAAAAAGAGAGGAGGATACACTAGCTTCCTCCCTTCAAAAACTACTTTAATAATGTCTGACTCAAAATTTTGGACTGACCCCAAAAAAGCCTTTTTTCCTCTCGGTGTTTAATTTTTGCCAGAAAATTTTTAGTTTGGCTCCACAAAGAATTTTGCTCCGACTCTAAACCATGTTTGTGTTCTGTGTTCCAGTTTGTCTTCTTTACTAAGAGATTTCTTTATTTGCCCAGGCTTACAACTGATATGCTAAAATCAGACCAGCTGCCCCCATGCTAAGTCAGTCTAGCAGCACATTCAACTTGGCTTTCTTTCTGTAGTGAATAAAGTAGCAAGAATATCAGTGCCCACAACATGATGTTAACCAGGTGGTACAGGATTGCCAGAGTTTGCAACTAGGAAGATTTGCATCTTTTTATTATAAATCCTTGTTGGAACTGAAAAGAGAGCCTCTTATCAAACTGTATACATACCCACTTCCAACAACAGGTATGCTCCTTTGGATGAATTAACTTTTTCTTCTTTCGTATGGTTGCATTCTCTACATCCAGGTATTTATTTTTTTTAAAAAAAAAAAGTAGACTTAGAACAATTCTTAGAAGTTACTAGCAGAGAAGGTTATTTTTCCAATAGGAAATCAGAAAGGTATGTTTCAGGAAGAAACATGAAATCTGTAAGCTTTTAGCATAGCAAGACACTAAATTACATCTGCAATGGATCAGGCTGTTTGTTAGCAAGCTGGTTAAACAAGCTCTGCTTTCCCATGCTTAAAAATGCAGCCACTTAAAAAACCAGAAGGACAAAGCTGAAATTGCCCTCATTCTTTAACACTATTTCCACTTTTCATTATTTATAGTTCAGATTTTGATCAGGCTTTTAGAAGACTAAATACAGAAGTGCACTTCCCACGTATTGCTTGGAAGTTACAGCTTTGATTTTTTTTTCTATTTTTTATTGGAAGCAAGTATTTTTTGTATTTTAAAAGTATGTCACATAAATTGAAGACTAGGTATCTTAAGTTTGACAATACAGCTTGTGATGGTCATTATTCAAACCTCTGTAAGGTTATCCCCTTTGTATCACAACCCATTCCCTGTGCATAACTTTGGTTCGGATTCAGTGGAATCAACATTTCACCCACATCTTCACTGCATGCAGCACCTGTAAGCTAGAACATACTCAAAGTCCAAGATCAAGAGATAGAGATCTAGAAGGCAAGTAAAGAGCCATAAGAACTGTAAGATGTGCGGTAGGAAAGGGACTCCATCAGACCAGAACTTCTTGGGAGCTATTTTGATGTAGAGGCAAAATTCAGACAATTAATGACCATGCAGGATTTGCTAGACGCTATAACTGAGGTTATTATGTTTGCATATGTTTACAGCAGTTCCTACAGCAGCAATCTCCACTTCTAACAGGAATTTTTAATACTAGTCCCAAACAGAAGAAAAGGATTCATGTACAGTACAACTGCTGCAAGTGTACCCAGGTTAAATTTTCTTGCTCAGGTACAGCCACTTTGATATCCAGCCAAGCAGAACACCACATATTAGTCACCAAGCATCAGGTTTTGTGATACTAGATATTTCTGTGCTACAAATGCCATAAGACATTAAAAATCATGGTGCTGATGGAAGCCATTGGCAAGTTCTCTTCAGTTCTGCTGCTCCTCTTGTTTTTCTGCTAGGGTCAGAGAAAAAGGTCTTCATCAGTTCATACTTTAAAAAAAATATAATAATCATGCCACCTAATTCCGTCAACAGCCTGACAAAGAAGAATGCGATATTTATTAACTTAACATACTAGAGACTGGTGAAAGGCTAATTCACCTTCCTAAATGCAGAGGTCAAAGTCTAATTCACCTTCCTAAATGAGGAGAATAGATACCTTTTAAGGAGAAGAATGTTTCAAAAGATTCTGACAGAGCAAAGGAAAAAAAAAAAAACCACACACATCACTGCTGGTTATTTTAAGTCATACTCCCTTCTTTGCTCCTCTCCAAACCCTGCTATTTGTTGGGTGGAGGGCAGCTACTTCCTTTGTCACTAAAAAGCCCAAAACATCTTGGGATTAGTCTGAGAGAGAAGAATCCTATGGCATGACCCAGTGGGTGTGGTTAACAGGTTTCAGCTAGCATTACTCTTCACTTATATAGACATTGCTTAAGATATTGTCCAAGAAAGAGGAAGTGAAGATAGATACCAAAAGAGGAAAGCAAATTTAAGCATAGTACACAGAACTTGATTACAGGCTCTTATGTAAGTAAGAGCATGGTCCAGAGGACAGCCAAGATGGGGACTGGTTGTGCCAGAGGACAGGGACCAACCTTCCTACGCAACAGTAAATTCAGTCAGTTGCAGACACCCAACTTCAGATTACCTTGCAGAATGCAAGTTGGATGTTTGGGAGACAAAGATACTGTCCTAAAAGCTAAACAGAGTTTAAATGAACCTAATAAATATATATACACAAACACACATATATACATATGATGGTCCTTCCCTCCCATTTTCATTAACAAAAAACTTACATTTTACAGGGCAGAAAGTGACTGCTAAGGCCTGGATGCATCTGCAATATTTGAATTCATAAACAACTCCATGTATATTTATCCCAAAAAGGAAACCATGCTACTAGACTACCAGTTAGCATAGTTGAAGCAGACAAGTAATCAAGATTGAACCTTGCTCTACCATAGCAATCTTCTCCCTTTGCCCCCAAGCTGTAAATTTGTCAATAAGACTGTTCTTGCCTTTATTACAAGGCGAACAGACTACATACTAATATTCCTCCTTTGTCTCCCAAAAAATTCCATCTCAAAACAGTAGCCTTATTCAAGTTTAAATCTACATCACCTTTCAAAGATTGGTTAGTTACAGCTATTTTAGTTTAAGATGTAGTCAAACTTTCCTAACAGGATGATCATTTATTTTCTTTCAGCTTTCAAAATCATCCTCCAGCTAGAGGAAACATAACCATTCATAACTAGGAAAAAAATCCCACAAAACTCTCAAGTGAATTTAAATGGGAACAAAAACAAATCAAAAATTCACATTGGCAGGAATCAGCAATGAAGCCAAAAGCATTAGGCTTCTACTAGGAAAGCAGATTTTAGCTTCCAATATAGACAAAAATAGTCTTCTGTTGAAAGGAAATTGAAGGAATTATGGAGGAAAAAACCAAATCCACCTCTTAGTGCAGTGTCTGTATTGGAAGGAAAGCGATTTATTTATATTACACACAAAGATTTTTATTAAAAAGGCTGGTAATGGAACATTTTATTTTAATGCATCAACTTGGTAAAAGGTTAGTTACAGAAATTGTGTATAATGTTGTATAAGTCACATGGATGGGTTATTTAAAAAAATTTGATAATTAGCAGAGGACATCACTTATTTTAGTTACATCGTAAAGTGCCTCGTGTAGTCATATTCTATCGTTGGAATGACCGCCTGTACAAATTTCAAGAAAATAAGAAGGTACCTGAGTTTCTAGTTAAGGAAAATGTGCAATAGCTAGACATCCTGTAAAACAAAGCAGAAGTCATTCAACGCTCTGCTCAACAGTATTTCCTGCTAATAGGAAAATAACACCTAGCAATTATACAGTTAGAGACTGGAAAATTAATACAGCAGAACTCTGGTAATGACATCCGATGCTTGTCCAAACATACGGACCTTCCTGTTTTAAGTTCAAGCAGGGAACCAGGAGTATTTTCAATAAATCTTACAAACACCACACAAACGTTTACAATCCCATTTACATACTTAGTATTTGTTATTAACAAACACCAAGGTGAATTGCACCTAGCAAGGCTAATCCCTAGCTACCTTCCTGTAGATGCAGGGAAAGCAGGCTCCTCCTCAGTGTTTCAGTGGCTCAGAAAACAAAATAGGCTCCTGTTCTGAATGATCCTTTGAAAGAGCTCCTTCCTGTTGATGACGGAAAGTACAGAGATTAGCTTTGCTAAGCTGAAAGGTCTGCCTTTGTAGAGATCTTCCTCGTCTCCCTTGTGTATATCACCTTCAAATGCATGTTGGGCCTGAATCTGCAGTCTGGAGTATATTGCATAATTATAAACTAAAGTGTCTGTCCACCTGGGACTGAGGCAGACAGCAAACTGAAAAATTAAAATAAATCACTACTTTCAACTGACAATTAAGTTACATTGGTACTGGATATAAGTAAAACTATTGTGGCATGCCAGTCTCATGGACCATTTCCTGACAAATGCAAACTACATCATAATGAGGAAATAAACTGACTGTTAAAAACCCCTCAATTTGTTAAGCAATACCAAAAAACCTAAGCAAAATCTTGAAAATAAGCTATTTCTAACTATTAAGGAGTAGACTTGAACTACCCTTGCCAGAAAAGTTATTTTCCAGTTCAGTTTCAGCTGCTTGCTGCACAAATTGAGCAAGCCTCAACTCATACAGCGAACAAGAATTTTACTGATTCAGGGCCTATAATTGCTCAATAATCCCCCCTTGCTTGCCTTATAGCAGCACAAGAACACTATTTTGAAAGGACACGCTTGCTTCTAACATGGAGGTTACTTCAGTCAGAAAGCATAGTATCAATTACTACAAAGCGTAACTAATACCAGTCACTGTGCTGGAAGAAAATTCTAATTGTGAGGCATTTGATACCGATGTTCAAAACAGCTGCAGTGATTTTCATTGCTTTTTTTGTCAGATGAATGTTTTCATGTGATGTGAGCCATTGCTCACATGAGGAGTAGAGACCAGTGGAACTTCTACACCTTTCAGAAATGAATCTCAGATTTAAATCTAATACAGAAGCTGCTGTACCAGGAGGAGTGATTACACTCTGGCCGGAGTCTATGAACCTCCAGCTTCATTCTCCCAAACTGGGATCTGTTTCATACACACAGCTACCTCCTTCACATCCCTACAAAGAAGGACTCAATCCTGTCCCTTCAATCCTACCTACTTTCCCGGTTGCTCCTGACACTCGTCCCCTGGACAACTGATTAACAGAGTTCGTTTGCACAGAAGACCTCATCCCAGATCTCTACTAAGTGCTAACTCAAGCAGTTCTTTACTACATTCACACACAATTGCATTCCAGTTTAGGAACGTTGAGATAACAGCTCCTTACACTGCAAGAAATCTCTAAGAGTACCGTGTAGTAACGAAAAAGGATACATGTGAACTCCAAGTTCTCCCCCACCTTCTGCAACAGTCTCAATTATTTTCTTCATAACTTCTGCATGCCTGAAAAGCAATCAGAAACAGTGAAAATACTTTAAGGAAAAAGTAACTCCCTCTTCATCTCAATAAGATTAGGTTTTGTGCAAATTAAATAGTTTTGGACTGTTAGCTTCAAAAGCAGCAAGAGGAAAATTTTAGTTTACTGAGGAAAAAAATCCCAACAGTAACTGAAAGTTAATATTAAGTGATGAATGTAACATCATTTGCCAGCTCCTTACAAAAGCAAAAAATGTAGACTGAATGTCATAATGAGAGTCAATCCATATTGCTTGTCACTAGTGTAATTTTTAATTGCTAAATGCCAAAGAAGCCACCAGGTAAGTCCCGAGAAGGTAATCCTCACCAACAGCAAGACATCAGAAATTCCCAGATGACCCCTGAAGAAGACACCTAGAAATTACTGCAACTTTTTTAGCTGCCTCTGCTGCACTCTTAAATTTGTAGAACTTAAGGAGTATCAAACACTTAAACAATTCATAGTTTCCTAGGAAAGGCAGGCTAAACCAACTCTACATAAATTTAGAACTGTTACTCTGGGACTGACTTAGGGTATGGAAACTTTCTCTGGCAGTAACTTGGGTTCCACGGCAGATCAACAGTTTCTAAGCTAGCTGCTTCTCTCTCGTGACTCTGTTATTGTAAAGTCCTATGGGGGAGGACAAACATTTCCTCAGGTCACTCTGTTTTGACATTAAGTCATCAGTGACATACTAGACCTACTATGAACCACACAAACATTTGTATACAAAGCTGATCCTGAGAATATAACATGGCATCACAGAATACCTAAGGTGGGAACAGACTGGTCCAACCCTCCTTGCTGATCAAGCAGTAAACTAGAACAGACTGCTCAGGACCTCGTCTGGTCTGGTTTTCACTATCTCCAATGACAAAGACTTCATATCTTTCAATGACCAGTTACAAATCAGAAGTAAATGGTCTTGTGTTCAGGATAGTTCTTATACCTCATAAACCAGGGGATGGAGAACATACCAAATCAGAGGGGAGAACTACTGTATGGTTAACTGATGCTTTATTTATATATTTTTAACACAAACTCCCAAGTTGTATAATTCACCTTACTTTTAATCTATACTTCAACTTTGTTTTAAATTGATAATTATGTGGGCAATCTTTATCAGTGACGTCATATAGGGCTACGGACATCCACCTACACAACACTGCAAGCTAGGTAACAGCAGTAGTTTAAAATACCTGTCCTGAAACAACCTGTGTGCCTACTGAGAACAAGGAAGAGTGGTAAGCAGAGTTTACATAACTTTCTGTCCATGCTTTGATACCATTATGCAAATCTAAATAGCTGACCAGTAACTGGCATTTAGCAGTTGCCTACAAAGTTAATCATGCTGCCAGCGACTGCAAACACAAGGAAGGAAGCTGTTCTGTTGCAAAGTTACCAAGAGACATGGTAAACAGGAACATTCAAGTCTGGGGAAATACTAAAGGTCAGCATTTGCCATTTGCTGTGCTGCTGGTCTTTGCAAATCAGCTAACCCTCACAGTTCATTCCAATTCTGGATCCTCACGATTCCCCCTGCAGAACACATGCCATATCAGGTGCCAAGGCCAGTTGCTTCTATACAGGAACCTGGCCACCTGGCCACTGTCAAAACTTAAGCTTTGACCTCGTCCGTAATGGTGGACTATTTTTTGTACTGGCATAGAATACAAGTCACCCTACAGCTTTTAGAAGTCTTTAACAGGATACTGGCTCAACTTCATACTTCTTAATGACATTTGCTCTTTTCTGTTTTCTAAGGACTAGTTAGTTATCTGGAACTCCATAATGGCCACAGTAATGGTCATTCTTACTGTCATACAGTTACTCACTACAAGCTTTGCAGGTGCTTTATAAACTTCCAAAAGTTTTCTTCCTGCTTTCAGTTTCCTTCTATAACAGAATTTTGAGGAATTAATATGAAGTATGTGTACTCTGCCAATGGAAAGAAGTAAGATAACTTTGGAAGAAATGTCATCTGAAATATCCTGCTATCTAGAAATCTCCATTATTTTTTTCTACTTCTGAATAGAATTCCCCCAGAAATAACTCTTAACTCCAGATGACTAAATACACTACATGCTCACCAATGCTTGTTCCAGGACCTGTTTGTAGATCACTTGAGCTATCAAATAGATCAGACATCTAAAACATCTACCAAAAATCACCTTATTTACTTTCTGGTATATCAACCAACTCTTGAGGTGGTTCAAGTAATATAAATGAGTTATTATTCATATTTCAAGTCAGAAATACTGCTGTTGCTATTGAAAATAAACTGAGATACACAGAGTTAAAATCATACATTAAGGGGTTAACAATAAGTTGAAAGAAGCTGATTTCTTAGATTGATTAGATGACCCTTTATGCTCTCATCAGGAATGTTAGCTTTCCAGCTGAAGAACCCCTCTCCTGCTTTGCAATTGACCAAAACCGTCAGTCGAAATATTTGTTATTAACTTGACATTGGAATTCAGCACAGCTAACATACTGACATTGTCTGAATATCACCTGGAAGTGAAATACATACCATCAGAAAGTAAAAGTAAAAAATAAAAGCCTTCCTGATATATGGGGAAAAAACCCAAAACCAGTAACGATTCACTCCCGCCACCCCCACCCTGCCCTTGCAGTTCATGGAGATAAAAGGTCTTCCACAGGACTTCCAGTGTAGTGGACAACTGTAAGCTTCCATAAAAGACAGTAAAATGCAATACTTTTTAGGACACTGTACCTTCAAGAAAAAAAAAAATTACCTATAAGGTTGATTCAGTGTCTGTAACTACTCGCACACAGTGACAGGTGTGGAAAAATCCCACAAATGTCCTTATTAGGAGAAACATTCAGAACCCGCAATAGTCAGATAACCTTATGATCTACAATTCAGTGATCCTTGCAGTTGCCTCTAGTCATGTCTCTGCAGATATTTACAGTACATAAGGAAAAAGAGTCCAGAAGCCTATCACCATTTATTCTGGCATAGATAAAAATAAGCCCTTGGAATTACTGTGAGTAATTCAGATCTAATTGTAAATGTGTTTAGTAGTTAATTAGTTTGACAGTCCCTTCATAATACCCACATAAAAAAGTCGAGAATTGTGATTAAATCAGTTTGCAGCAATTAATGAGGAAGTTAACTGTGTTCCTCCCAGCACCATAAAAATGCTGACAAGAAATATAACTTACAGCAGAGCTGCAAGATGAACAGTTTCAACTAACTACTCAAAATAGAAGCAATCTTAAGCAGCTGACAGCAGCACCCGACTGCTATTTCTTTCCTTGCTCTGACGCATGACACAGGAATATACACGTCACAAGAAACAGCGAAGTTTAGGACCATCCATATACGCTACATTGCACAATTCTTGTAATGTGCAGGAAAGCAAAAGCAGCAGAGCTAGCTAGCAAGTACCAGTGTTTAGCTAAACTAAGAACAGAACATCATTTTCAGCTATTATTTTTCACCTCAGAAGCCCAGACTCTCTTAGCTGTTAGCCTTACCAATTTAAGAAAACAGAATAGTTCACCTTGGAGAGCAAGAGGACATACTTAAAACCTCCATTTTAGATATGCTGTTAGCCTCTTTCTTCACAGTCTCAAGATGACCTTTTCAAACCTTTCCAGTGTTAATCAGTTGCCGGTCAACTAGATTGCTTTTTGAGAAGGACTAGACAGTTTCCTCCACATTTAAGACTACCAACAAATCTGTCTCACTGCAATATCAATCATCTCTTTCATGCTTAAAAGACTGATTTGAACAAGTTTCATGATGCAACCATTTCAAGTGTAGATGTGGATTACATAAAGGCACTGGCACTTCACTGGGTTCAGAAGATGAGGTTAAAACATGTACTCTGAGCTCTCATCTCAATCCAAATTCATAAACCAGCACTAAATTGGTTCTTACGCTGCAAAGGTGTTTGCAAAATTAAGCAGATTACGTTGCAGCCACAGCCCAGTATAAAACCCACAGGTCTACCTAGTCAGTGAGGGCTGTCATGCCCAAATATCTGGTTGTCTTTGTTTCTTCAGAGAGTGCCCTCCCAGCCTGTGTCCATCAACAGGAGGTTCTTCCCAACCAATTTATTAGCAGGGCTTCCAGTAATCACTAAATTGAGCCTTGGCTTCAGACTTTTTTCCCTCCTTTTATTCTATTAATCATCTTCCTAGTCAGTCTGTTAAGCCTTCTTACATTCACCCCACCTGTCACTCCTTCAAAAACACTAGTTGCACAAAAGGCTGCATCCATTTTTTTTTGTCCAAAGCCCTGCAGACAGCAAACAATAAGACAAAGTCACTAATGGGTTGACATATTAAGACTGATATATTCCTCTAAGGTACAAGAATACCTTATTGGATCAAACCAAAGATCTACCTTGTCCTGCTTGTTATCTTATAGTACGTGCCCAAGACAGAGGCCAGAGCAAGCACCTAGTAATGCTTCCTCCAAAGTACTACTAGTTTCCAGCAGTATACAACCCATGGACTTTCCAATTCTGAAGCATTCTAATAACTTCACTTTTAACAACTCTTGACAAATTTGTCTTTCATTAACATCATATTGCTTAAATAAATATTTACTTTAATTAGGTGCTGTATGCAGAGTTTAATCCTTTTTCTGGCTTTGAACATGCCACGAGCGAGTAGCATTCAATGCCACCAGTTTTACTACTGGGAAACAGTGAACACCTATTACTTCACCTTCTCTGCATTCACAATGAAGGTCACTGAAATCATAACTCCCTTCTCAGCTGCCTTTTCCAAAGCTGAAGGGTCCCAGGTTATTCAATCATTTCTTACGGGAAAGAGCTTCACAACCTCAGTTATCCTGGACAACCCCTCTGTATCTTTTCCAGTTTTAGTCTTCATCTTTACTTAGTCTTTAGGACAAGAGGAAATGGTCTTAAGTTGCGCCAGGGGAGGTTCAGGTTGGATTTTAGGAAGAATTTCTTCACTGTAAGAGTTGTTAAGCATTGGAAGAGGCTCCCCAGGGAGGTGGTACACTCACCACCCCTGGAGGTGTTCAAAAAAACATTTAGATGTGGCGCTTCGAGACATGGTTTTGTGGGCATGGTGGCATCAGGTATACAGTTGGACTTGATGATCTTTGAGGTCTCTTCTAACCATAATGATTCTATGATTCATCTCACAGACTACAGAACAGATGACCAGAGCTGTACTGCAGTATTCAACATATGGGTGATCACACAGATTAATAGAGGCCTTATGCTGGTTTCTGTTCTATTCTTTATTCTTTTCCTAACAGTTTTCTAAGTTCTGCTTCCTGTACTACTCTTGAGCACTGAGACTGACATTTTCACAGGTCTATTGCGTTAGTGTAGACTTAAACCCAAGGATTTAAAGACCAGCATTAAACTTCACCACTCAAAATTTTCTACGAGACAGCTAAACTGGGTAAAAAGCTATTTCCCAGTTGTGCAATGGCTTCTCTGCTCAATATTGTCCAGATATAAGCTTGACTGCTTGGTGAAAGCAATGACTGTTGTAAAGCAGCAGTTAAAGAACTATGAACTGGAAGAAACACAAGATACAGATTTACAAAGCCCATGAATGTACATCCTCATAATTAGATTAAAAGTAGCCATAAACTACTTGGTGCAAAGCTTCATTGCTCTCTCTCTAAAGAATGGTATACTCTTCCCAAGACTAATCTTATGATCAAGTAATTCCTAAACCAGAAACAAGAACATTTTGAGTCTGCAAAAACTACCACAAGCTTGTCAACAGCAAGGTGATTATTTGACACCTCAGCTAGTGACATAGATCCCAGAACTGTTTCTTTAAGTCAAAAGAAATTACAAGACTTAAAGGAGCAATCTGGAGTTTTTTTTAAAAACAAAAACACAAACCCACAAACATATGCAAGACTACAAAGGGTGTCTTTTTTTTTTTTCCTCCAAATGAGTTAAAAGCCCAAACTCATATCTCCAAGAACTTCATACTGTCAAGAAGCTGAGGAGTTACACTGTTTAAGATATTGGTTCTGTATCACTAAGACACCTAAAATGATGTTAGGGTCTACATCTAAGATGAAAGGCACCTTTCAAAGACCTAGAAAAAATACCTGTGCAGCTAGTCAAACTATATACTCCCTATGTCTTGGTTAAGAAATGTGGAAAATGCAACAGAAAAGACCCTAAACCCACAAATACTTCAGTGTGGCAATTAGAGGACCTCTATTTATCAGTGTAAAATTTCAAGGACTTCTGCCATCTTCTGGAGTCCGTAGGAAAGTGGAGCAGAGAGAAGACAGCTCTAACTGCAGAATACACTTGCAGCAGTGAGCACTGGAATGACTTCAGAGAATCACTGATATCTTCCTTTCATACTGCCTCAAACATTAACAGACCACTACGGCAGCCAACTGTGGAAATATGTCCAGAAAACATGAACCAAATCCTTAACAAGACCAGTGAAGTGCCTTGTATCTGCATGCTGAATCAGACCAGAAACAAAGACTTACCTGCATGGATGAACTGAGCACATGGGAGGTGGAGGAAGATGAGGATGGTTTTCAATGGTCACTGTTTTCTTGACATGATCTTGACTAATATCTTCATACATATGCTCTACTGTTAAAGGCTGCCGTTGCTACATAGGAAAAAGGAAAATGAGAACAAAAACATTACTAACAAAGAATCTTTTTGCTCCTTCTCAGCAATTCTGACATCATTAACAGGTGAAGCACCCTAAGTTATAAGCATCTAATAGACAACAGTTCTGAAGGTACACTGAAAGAACTGAGTCTGTTAAAATCCACATGGTGTGGAAGTAGTACTGCACAGATTTTTGTTTTTAATATACCAGGTGAATGGTAAAGTCAATATATTTGAGAACCATCTAGGTTCCCATCTAGGTATTTGAGCTGTAAGCCCGAACCAACTTTAACTCAAGAAACTTAGTGATTAAAGGAAACACTGATTTATCTAATCCTCTCCCTCTGAAGATCATGAAAGCACATACCTGTTTACTGGGGTTATTACTAGCTCTACAGAGCTAACAGAAACTCAAATGACAGAGCATGATTTGCTTCCTTCCAAATGTGCTCAGTTAACAAGTACCGTTTTCAGTGAAATCGTTCCTACTCCCTGCAAGTACCATAAGTCCTGTCTGCAAACCTGACTGTATAATGGTTTTCTCACTATTTTTTCTTTTAAATTTCTACCATGAATAAGCAACAAAATAGCCTTGCTATTTACACAGTGAGTCTAATTTCACAGAATTGGGAAAAAACAACATAGCTATACCTCATCATATCCAAATAACCAGAGCCTTGGAGTTTGGTAATATTTGTCATAAGTGATGTAGAGGTCATAAGTTCTAGTCTGTAGAATAGCATCTTCCCCTCCAACATCAACTTTAGCTTTGTTAGCTTCTACAATCTGTCTTGTGTCAAGCGTTGCCTGGTTCAAGGTAAAAATGACAACATTAGTATAGTCTTGTTTGGGTTCCCTCCTTTCCCATCCTAAGTAGTTACGTAAAGCTGCAAAACTGGAATTAATGTTCTTAAGTGAGCATTAAAAAAACCATAGGCTTTTGGGTTTTGTTTTTATCTTTAAATTAGGAGTATCAGTTTCTTTCCCAGGAATTAGGTTTTGGTTTTATTTTTGGTGGGGGGTTTTACTGTTTTAAGAAAGATCCGATTTCTTAAGGAAGCATGCAACTACATTGTCACATCCCCCTCCCTTCTTTCACCAATAACTTTTGAATCCAACAGACAATTACACCGAAATTCAGAAGGCAAAGGTCTCAGTTTACGCAGGTTCATGAAGAGCTTAGCTGAGTACCACAAATAACGATGTACTCTCTCATGACAGTCTGGTGCATCAGTGTAATCTATTGAACCTGTAAGTCATTCATCCTCCACATCAAAGCCTCAAGAACAACCACCACATTTTTTATCTCTTGTGAATACAGCACTGTGTATAAGCAGAGCGAAAAGGATCAGCAAAAAAAAAAAAAGCAAAATTACTGCGATTAAAAATCTTTGAGGAACTGTTCATTAAGGTTACTGCAGTAGGTTGGCAGGAGACAAATCTACAGGAAACCAGGCTCAGTAATCCCACTGCTCACAAGCAGCTTGTTATGTCATCCATTTGTTATCATCATTTTTACTTTGCTTGTGCTCATATTGGTGATAAGCATTGTAATAGACAAGACAGAGAACTGTTCACTCACATCATCTGTCTCCAATAGGCCACTTTCTTCATACTCTGAAAAGAAGACCCATAAAATTCTAAGTTTAGCTTGTAGCTAGTCATCATATTTCTCATTCATAAACAACTCCTTTGAAACAATCTACATGTATCTAAAGATGTTTTATTCAGGTAGACTTCCCAATCCCCAAACGAGACTATACCTTTTTTAATACAAATTTGACCAAGACTACAGTAAGTACATGATGAGCAATCCTTAAGTGGTTTTAAGTAGGCAGATTGAGTTTAAGTGCAGGTGTGGAGCAGGAAGGAAGCTATGCTAAATCCCTACTTTATACTTGCATGGATCTGTTTGGCTACTCAAATTAATTTCCCAGTCACTAACATTTATGCAGGTTTCGGCACACAAGTTAGACTAAATATGCATCAGTAAGACCATACAAAAGACGATAATCAGCATATGCCTGCTAAATTTTTCAGCATGCATTCCATGAAAAGAAAGACTAGTGTTTTCTTAGAGTGTACCACTTTAGTTAAAGGCCTGAAACAATGCACGTCCCACCCAATTTAAGGAAATACCTTCCATATCTGCAGCTTCTCCTTCATCTTCCTCATCATCATCTTCACAAGATGCTGAACATTCCGGTATTTTTATATTATCCTTTAGAAGTTAAATTGAAAACACTGCTTTAAAGATTGCTGCATCTACACAGTCTAACAGCCCCAGCAAATTTAAGGTGTAAGTCCAGTCAATACATACAGTGAACCAGAAGAGTAATTTCAGCAATATTAAGGACTATATTGAACTCAAATATTTGCTTATTAACCAATCTTGGTTTCAAAGTCCTAGCATGACATTAAAAATCCGCTTAACAAGTTCTCCTTTGACTTCATAATCTGAAATTATTTAATTCCTAAGCAAAGAAGAATAAACAAGGTGTTAAACAGCCCATAATTTCTTTTCAAAAAACGCACCTATCTCAAATGAAAGGCAATGACTAAACAGCTGTGATTAAACATGTAGGTTAAGATTTTGTATGTCCTAACCCACAACCAACTGAGTAGCAGTTATCATACTATCATAAAATATCTCAAGTTGGAAGGGACCCATAAGGATGATTGGGTCCAACTCTCTGCTCCTTGCAGGACTATCTAAAACTAAATTATGTGACTAAGAGCATCATCCAGTTCCACAACTGTTTTTAAAACACCTGAGAGTCCCAAAAGATTCATGTTTTGTTATAATTTTCTGAGGAAGCACAGTCCAACAGAAACGAATACGGCACAAGCCCTCAGCCAACTTTTTCTTTTGGGCATTGTGGGCCTATGCATAGCCTTTGAACCCAACAGACAACTCCGGTGAAATTCAGAAGGTGGAAGTCTCGATTTATGCAGGTTTCATGAAGACTTTAGAATACTCCAAATAATGATTACAATTAGAAGCTGCTCTAATTGTAAGCATCAGGTGGCTGGTTTCCTCATTAAAAAAAACGAAAACACCAAAACCAGTAAGTTGTGAAGTGCTTTGGCAAACAGAGCATTAGCAGAGAAAGAGTCGTCCTTCTATATTGGACCTGTGGTCCAAGAAATGAAGTATTCTACAACAAGCAAGTTTTTCTACATACAATATATTAGAAGTGAAATCCACTTCATAACACACAACAGCAGTTACGAATCACAGTAACATTCTGCAAGTACTGTGTTTCACAGAAATAGCAATCACCTTTAGTAGGTATTCCTTAGAGTGTTTCTTCCACTCTTACGTTACTGACTTGTGAAAAAGCAGTATTTTTACTATGTTCAGTACAGTCTCACTTGAGATACATGTACTTCACAGTTCGTCATATCAATAGCATTTTGAGCTGTTTACAATTGTGTGGTAGCATAGAATCATAGAATCATTTGGGCTGGAAGGGACCTTTAGAGGTCATTTAGTCCACCTCCCCCCTGCGGTGAGCAGGGACATCTCCAACTAGATAAGGTTGCTCAGAGCCCCATCCAGCCTGACCCTGAATGCCTCCAGGGATGGGGCTTCCACCACCTCTCTGGGCAACCTGTTCCAGTGCTTCATCACCCTCATTGTAAAAAATTTTTTCCCTATGTCTAGTCTAAATCTACCCTCTTTTAGTTTAAAACCATTTCCCCTTGTCCTGTCACAGCAGACTGTGCTAAAAAGTCTGTCCCCATCTCTCATATAGGCCCCCTTCAGGTATTGGAAGGCTGCAATGAGGTCACCTTGAAGCCTCCTCTTCTCCAGGCTGAACAACCCCAACTCTCTCAGCCTGTCTTCATGAGAGGTGCTCCAGCCCTCAGATCATTTTCATTGCCGTCCTCTGGACCTTCTCCAACAGGTCCATGTCTCTCCTGTGCTGAAGGCTCCAGAGCTGGATGCAATACTCCAGGTGGGGTCTCACCAGAGCGGAGCATGTGGTAGCCCATTCTCTTTCCCCTTAATTTTTAGAATCCAAAGCTTTGTGCTTGGATGGTTTAACAAACTCTCATAGCACAGAGAGAGAAGTCCACTTTAACAATCAACTCATATTTAAAAGCATTTTGCATGTTTGACTTTCTCTGCTTTTCTTAAACATGTTAGCTAACACATTTCTATTTCAAGTACTTGCAACTGCTCTCAATTTCCTGAGGACATAAGTTTCAGATTTGGCTCCTGCTGCAGAGTGACTTCTTGGAAATATGTGCACAAACTGATGACTTTGTAAGACGTATACATTTAAACTGTTTTAGTACTTCTAAACTTGAGGGCACCAATCTGTCCAACAGTACCAAATGTGTTATAACTCTGCTGGCAGTAGTTAAAGACTACAAAGAAATACTTTACATCCCTACATTATTTTTCCGTATAAAAGTTTCTTTACACTGGATCTCCAAATATTAGTTTCTTGAGATACAAAAGGTGCAGTATCACTGTAAACAGAATTTCATTTTCAGTCTGTAGAAGCCTGGCACAAGAGCACACTGGCTAAAGACATTCCAAAAAGAACACTGCCTCAGTAAACATGTAGTAATAATGAGATGCACATGCTCAGACGAATATCATGGGTTCTGAAAGTCAATGTATATCTGCAACACACCTAGTGACAAAATACATTTTAATCTTTCACAAGGAGTACTAGATTGCTGCAGGTAAGACTTCTATTACCTTTAGGTCCTGTAATAAAGCAAGAAGAAAAATCTAGAAACAAGTACCTTACTGTCTAGTGTGATCTCCTTAACTGCTTCTGTTGCACCCACTATACCTGTTAATTGAACAAGAAGTCTGCATTAAAAAAAAGCTTGTTTCTTTGTTACAGAATAGTACAGAAACAGGTACAAAAGCAGCATATGATCTTTCCAAGTTATCTCTCTCAACAATTTTGATGTTTGAAGGGCTGTTTATTTGGTATTGGTAGCTTACTTAGTGCTGGACATCTATAAACAAACCATACCAGTAACAAGGAGCAAAACAGGACACCTCTTGCACATCATACAAATTTTGATGACTGCAAAGTAATTTGGATTTTTACTTTAAGGAATTTTTGCATAGAAGTGAGTTCAGGATAAGCATTCACATCACAATAATGGAACCCAACTTCATCAGCAAGGCATGCATTTATGAATATTTCTGAGTATCTTGAAAGCAAACTGTCCATGACAAAGCATGGTGTAGCAGAACACTCAACACTTTTAGCTGAGTGGGGGTAAAAACCATCCCAAATCACAGTAGTATCAACTCTGAGTTCCTCTGCATTAGCTTTCCAGTTTTACTGCAGCTCTCACCCAGTACTCTTTGGGACCCATTAGAAGATTCTGCTTTGGCACAGTACATTTATCTAATTAACTCTTCAGCTGAAAATAAGTTACATCATTATGGAGAATGAACCTGAAATCAAGGAACTGCTCATCAGAAATAACTGTTTAAAGAGGAGGAATGCCAGTTGAACATTGCTTGGAAACAATGCATTTATAGTGGCTGTGTGATCACTTACATATGTTTCTTCCTACCAGAAAAAGTGGTGTTATAAAGGACATCTATACAGACGAGTGGAAACAGACTGCTTTATCTCCTTTGATAGTGTTTAGAGAACTGGCCAGGTCTAGTCAGAGTGTTACAGCTGCGCTGCCACAGCATGGTGCCCAAACCAGTCAACCCTAAAAAGTAAAACTTGGCAGAGTCTATCCACAGGAGAGCAGGAGAATGCATTCTTAATTCAGGGATGTGACAAAAGCTATGCCAAACAATTTCTTTGGTGTGGGGTGTTCAGTCATGAACTGTGATATATTTAAGAATTGCCAGTGATGAAAAATGTACAACTACAGAAGCAAAAACACCCTTTTACTCCCCAGTCTGGCTGAACTATTTAGACAACTTCTTCCACATTACAGCAAAAAATTTACACCAAAGAAAGTAAAAACTGAGTGGAATACCTTCTAGGTTTGGAAATTGTGGAGAAAACATCATTGGAAGACAGAATTTTATTAACTCATGATAGAACATCAGGAAACAGAGTAAAACTAATAAAATTGCCAATTCTTAGAAAAGAACAAAAGGATTTATAAGAAGCTGTGCTAGAAAAGCTAATGAGATAGATTCACGTAAGCAGTAATTTTTAGATTTCTCTATAAACACAAGCTCATCTAAGGACTTAGTGTAAAAAAGGATCATCTCCCACACTCATGTCTGTATTTAATAACATTTTCGTTCCCTGCATCCCCCAGGGACCTCATATATTAAGATAATAGCTATTTCTAATGATTCCCCCTTTTTAGCTCAATCCAACAATTCAACAGAATGGGAAACACTGAAATAATTAAGTTAGTTGATGTCATCATTAAGACAAAGATTAAAATGTGCTTCGCATGCAATCTTACTAAAAAAAAAGATAAATTTGCATATTTTTCAAACAAATAATTTAAACCAACATTGTCGTCACAGGATCTCCTTACTAAAGAATGAGCTACTACACAACTCATTTTTTAAAAATAACTCCCTAGAACTTTAATAAGAGAATACTGAAATAATTTATTGTCAACACCTCTAAAAAGCAGTCTGTTTAAGGCATATACAGCCATACAGTTAAACATCTAAGCTGTCATGTACCGATCGAGTGTGTAGCTGGCAACGTAACTTATTTCTTCCAAATTAGATACTAGTACACAGCCATCTATATATAAGAAAGATTTTACTTTCTAAGAGTGGAAACTCAAAATCTTTCAGATTACCAAACGCAAAGTCTGAAGCAAGACTTTGAATACCTGCATTGTGAAAAGTGTCTACCCATCCCCCATCACCATCATCTTCTTCTATAATTGCTTCCTGCTCATCTGAGTACTCCATCTGCTTACATCTTTTGTAGCATGGCACTAAAAAAAAAAAATTTGCAAAACAAAATGAATGCAATCATCCTACATAAAACCAGACTGGAGCAAGAAATTATCCTACAAGGCCTTCTGAAATGTGGTACATCCTTATTCATACCAATGTCATACATCCTTATTCAAGGAATCCTAAAGCTATATTTCAAATGCAAAAGCATGAACTTAAAAAAAAAATATGTTGATGCGCTGTACCAGATATTTTTTCACGTATGGTACAACACTTGCAGTGGCCTTAAAAGTTCATTCTTCTGTTACCCATTAGAGCAGTTTCATCCAAACTCTTAAGGATTAGAAATTAATTAATTTCTCATTTGCTAACAACTGGAGACAACCAGTTTTCTTCACATTGCTAAACAACTTCTAGTTTAAGTACAACTTTGCCTGGATTAGCATCAGTTTACTGAACCGATTGGTCTTTAGAATTCTGCTTAAAGTTTGCATCAGCTATGCATGCAATATATTAGGTACGTTTAAGTATAAATTAACATCTAGAAATTTAGAAGAGGTTAGAATCAATGTGTTATTTAGGATAACTTCAGTCATATGCATTACTGAGCCATTCAAGTACAGATTTATACAGAGTTTTCAGAAAATAGTCAAAGAAAGAACGTGGACCTGATTAAGGCAAAAGGGACATTTTCCAACATCATAAACAAGGACTATGTAAAAAAGTGCTCCTTTTTTTACTAAAGTGGAGGGAAAAAAAAAAAGCCTGTTTTTAGACTTTTCAGGAAGGGAGGAGGGGGGGTGTGAAAGTCAGTGAAGAGAAGTTCTTCAAATGCTTCCAAAACAAGCTCTGTAGGATGGCTCCCAGCCTCACCCATAGCCCACAACTTTTACTCAGGTGGTAGGCCAATAT